TGGACAACAGGAAATCAATAAATCAGTCACTTAAGTTATTCATGAGGTATATTAATGGTTTTGATTCCAATAAAACGTGTGATTTAAGGTAGGGCATTGTCATATTTTGCCCTTTTCTGTGCAAAGTGATATGTATGATGGGATTGATGAAAGCAGAGGAATGAAAGAGATGTCAGGGAATAGGGCCCGCATGTTGAAACGCCGGTCACTGGACTTCTTTTCCATCACGGCGCTTCAGTCACGCCACAGGGGCTAAGTTTGGACTTGGAATGGGGCTTTACGACCTGTCCAAAAGCCCACATTGATCACACGTCACACGAATCCATACGGGACAGTGTCAGCAGAGCGCCACGGCTGTTCTGGGTCCAGCGTCCGAGGCGGTGACATTATGTGTGGGGACAAGCTACGTGTAATTAACGTCATACCATTAACTAGAGCGTTTCGTTAATGCCGTTTAAGTGTAATAAATGTTGACGTGTAGAGGCCCCGTGGGGAATGCGGCCTCTTTGTGTTGATTGGAAGGTGTTTGCACAAAAGACATTGAACATAACAACGAGTGATGAGTGGGTCAGCGCGGGTCAGGTCTTTCATATGTGGGAATAATGTGGCAGAAGAATGATCATTTTCTGCCTCTGAGAATTATCTTCGTATGTTCACAAGAGCAGATCGGTCAACAGTGTATTTACTCCCTATGTGGAACTAACTAATCAAAATGGAATATGTGACAGCAGCCAGAACAAGCTAGTCACATCTATTTGACTTTAGCATTATGTAAATTATATATATTTGTCACTGGAAATTCAATTGAACGGTCAAAAGGCTGTGGTCGACTAGGGTTGTGGGGGTCTGGAGCCTCGACTCCATCTCTCCTCTGGGTCCTGTGTTGTCCCCTTCCCCTGCAGGCGGCTCTCTGCTCCTGGTGCAGACAGCTCCTTGGATGACGCCTCTTGAGCTGGTTACATCTGCACCCTGCCCTATGTCTCTTCATGGTTTTACTGATGTGACTGTGTGTGTACTTCATATACGTGGTTTGGGGTGGGTCTGTTGGCTGGTGGGGCTGACGGGTCATCAAATAAAAATAAAACAACGATTGATTGATTTATATCTAACACCAGACGTGAAGGAAGAAGTAACCGATCACTATCTGGTTTTGGAGGAGTGACCATGTTTCCACTGGCCTGAGAACCCCTCTGCATTCCCCCAGATGCGCCGGAGAGGTGTGCGCAGATAGAGAAGCCTGGGCGTCTCTGCTCAGAATACTGCTTCTGCGCCAGCAACGGATAAAGCGGAAGAATATGGATGAATGAATGAATAAATAAATGGACATTCTGGTCACAACATCAACTTGAAAAAAATGTTTCGTCTGTCTCATTTTGAAGCTGTAGTACCTGTGTTTTTGTTTCATAAATACATTTTGTTTGTCCAAACAGAAAGCATCACATTTTGTAAACAAATCAGCCCACAACATGCTTTCTTTCTCTTTTTAGAAAACATTTTAGCTTTTACTTAATGAGAGATGATTGGCTGAGGGATCTTAAGATGTGACAGAGGCCATAAAACACAAAACCAGTGATCGATCCAATCTTTCGAGATTTAATCTAGATACAAGGATTTAGACATAGCTATTTTGCTGTGGTTTCAAAAATTAGGTTCTCCAGCTTTAATTCAACAGTAGGACTTCTGGTTATGTCCAGGTCTCGTGCACATATTGACCACTTAAGGGCTGCTTAGTTCACACACTGGATTAAGTCGCATTTAATTTGCAACATTAACAAGACCGTGAAAGAAAAGTAAAAAGAAAAAGCGGCAGTGAAGGTAGTCTTTGAACAGAACGCTACAGATGGTATGAGTTCATTGTATTTCGATGGACTTGGTGTGAGCACTTGTTGTTTAGCAGTATAATATATAAAACTTAAGCTTCCTGTCTGCTTCCTCCCTCCTGTTTCTTGAGCAGATGGTAATGACTTTGTTGAGCAGCTACAGACTGGTAACGCTTGAGTGAAAAGTGAGCGAACACGAGTTATTTGGCAAACAAATCGCTCTTTTGCTTCCCTTAAGGCTATTAGCATTTGTATTATGAACGGCACATCACCTCTTCCGACTCACAAATCTCTGGAACGGCGTCCTTCAGGACAGTTCCCATAGCAACAGTATCGAAACTGAGCAGGCAGCGGAGCGAGGTGCAGGGGAGAAGGATGCCAGCGAGGGCTCTGCGTGCCTTAAGCGTCAGCCTGTAATGAATGCAGCGCTGGTTTCACATTCATAAAGCAGAGATCAGAGGGAAGTTAGGAGGTCCACGGTCTCCTCTTTTTAAAACGGTCGTGATTGTTACATCTCGCACACACACGCTCACAGTCGACTTTGTTTCAGACCCTCGTCCACTGCTCAGACTTTAGCCGCAGCAGACACATCAAAGCGGTTCCCTCTCTCCAGCCTCAAGCAATAGAAACTGAATCTTTCTGCACCTTTCCTCCCATTTCTTTGATCTTTAGTGGCTCGGAGCACCGTGTATTCACTGACAAGGAGCTGGATTGAATGTATGGATGCTCACACGCTGCGCACACTTCCTGTTCCTCTCGGTGTGGTGTCCTCCAGATGAGACCTGCCTCCATCAATGAGTACACTACAAAAGCTACGCGTGTCCCACGAGAAACCCGTTTAAGGCATTATACACTGTGCTGTGCTCGGAACAAGAAACGGATGAACTCAGGGAGAAAGTGTATTGAAAGAGTGAATGTCTGCAAGTTCAAATATACATTATGTCAACAACAGCGCCGCTACAGTTATGTTAAGCAGGTTAATTGCAAATAATAGGTTGATCTTAAATATATCCTTGTTCTTTCTGTAGAGACCACCATTAAAATTCCATAAACCTACACATCACTCAGGTCAGTTCCATAGGTTGCATTCATCTTGTAGAATTATGCATTTGTTTTCCCAGATCATTATTTGATAGATTACACACAAAAACCTGCCATATTATTATCTTTAAAATATTTTGAATATTGTTGTTGATAAAGAAGAAGATGTGGAACTTTGTGGCAGTGGTTGCCTTTTGTGGTTTGACCCAGAATTACAGAGAAATTAGCTCTAAGGTATTTTTAGACAGTTACCATAGTTACCAGTACTATAATAACTGCCGTACACCACAATTTTAAACTATGGGCTCTTTGAAATGCTGTGATGTCACATGAACGCAACCTATTAGGTATGTTCAGTCTTTTTAGTTGGGTTATTTCACCGTTTCTTTTTTCAAACTCAACGACAATGGCTTTAACTCCAGCGTATATCATTTCATATCATCGTTATCATTACATCTGGTTGTCATGTTGAATTACGATTCTCTAGAGTTTTTCCTAGTGTTTTGAGAGAGAGAGGTTTTCCAGTGATGTTACACAGAGAGAAATGTATGATCATAAAGCTAAAGAGATCACACCATCACCTCAAAAAACAAGATCAAGGTGAGCCTGCTCAGACAGCCAGATATAGAGAGTAAATTCTTTTGATAAACATTCCTGGCAAAACACGGAAGAACCTTTCACACCGTGTAATCTTATAGCTTGATTTTTACTGGTTTTGAGCAGTGAATCTTGTGCTAATATTGGCTCTGGTATTGCAATGGTAGAAGGAGTTTCAGCAATGGTTTTGTTCACTGTATTGTGTTGAAATGTACTGTACTGAGCAGTTAGAATTGGCCTCGCTGACCCCACATTGGGCCTGCCAAAGGGGAGGAGAAACATGCCCTGGTTAGAAATCACCATTCACTGAGGAAAACCAGTGAGTAATGACTCGCAGGCAGGTCTTTTTGCCTCCGACCCTTTGACAGGACTAATGTTGGGTCAAACAGAGAATGACTTTGATGGAAGTCACAAAATCTAATGAAAAATCAACTTTTTGTCAATGCTGTAAATAAGTGACTTTAACACATACGAACAAACTATTTTGGCCCAAAAGCTACAATAACACATCCCTCAGACTCACTTGATTAGATACTGACGTCAATGGAGGACAGACTCTTACAGTGGATTGTGTTGGGAAGTATTCTGTCAGAGAAACTGGGAGTTCCTGCGTTTCTTTTCTCTGAGAATGGCAGGATAGCACCAGTTATGCCAGCGCACTAGGCATGCGGAACGACATATCCACTCACCATTTCTAGCTCTTGAAAAAAAAGTCGCGCACAACTTTTAGTGTATCTAAACTTTGACTGATAAAAGGGTTATGGCAGCATTTTCTTGTCTTGCAGGAAGCGGGCTCATGGAGTTGTGTGCAATGCGTAAAGAGCCATCTGGTGTGGCTGAGTAAAATGTGTGTAGCAGCAAGAAAGTGAGTGTACTTGTGGAGTAAAGGGTTCACTTAGTGGAGGCCAGCGACGTGCAGTTGGAAAGGATTAAAGGAGCGTGTGTGTGTGTGTGTGTGTGTGTGTGTGCGGCGCTGCTGTGCTACGAGTGCTTTTGTCTGTCGTGAATAAATCATGGTTTTAACTGATGCTGTGTCATCTGCACGAAGTAAATACGCTTGTTGTGGATGCTGTCAAGCTCCCTGACAATCTACCACCAGCCGTCACTTTAACCACAACACACAATCCTGCTCTGATCTCGCCGTATGTCAACAACTTTAAAAAATAAATAAATACCAAAAAAAGAGAGAAAAGGAGCAGAGCCCGAGAAACGTATGTGTCTGTAACCGTCCCCGGTGGAGCTCCATATTGTGCTGTAGGTTCATCACGACACAAACAACTTCCATTGACGACAGAAAGAGGTGAGCACAGTGTGTTGGCTGCTCCTTTGACATTTCCCTGATTTGGTTCTGCTAAAGTTTCCTTTGGCGCATTCATGGGGGACCAGGCCAAACGAACATCAGCGCGGGCTTTGTCGGTTTGCATGAAAAAGGCTGTTAAGTGCACACACAGTTCCAGTGGTTAGCGCAGTTAGCCGCACCACGAAGAGCCCTGGGCCGGTCCTCGTGACGTCCTCTCAGAGAGCAGAGACATCCCACTCGGATCAGATGTGAGAGGTGGTGCCTGTAAAAACAAATGAACGAAGTGCACGGTTGAATACCAATACGTGGTTTTCTTGTAATGACAATGTTTGTAGAAATCCTCATATTGTTGTTGTAATGGGGGATTTGAATGATCGATGTCTTTCTCAAAAACAAAAAACATAATAATCTAGTCTTCATACAGTTGAGACATTGTTAATAGAAATGCAAAGGGAGTGGGAAGAAGTCAAACTTATCTCAACCCACCCCAGTGTCAAGGTCAAGTTAATTTATGTAGCACATCACAGAGCACAAATATTACAGTAATTATACATTGTTCAGTCCTTTGTGGTGTATTTAATACATTATTTATGTATCATTGTTTTGTGTACATACATTTGAATTAAATACATATAAATCTTATAAGGACATATATTTTACAGACCCCAGCCCCCAAAGCATGTGGACTGCATTTAAATGTAATACTTTTAACCATTGTCTAAAAATCAACCACTTTAATGAACACTAATTTGGAGATATGCAAATTTAGAACATTGAGTGCTGAGCACAAATAGATGTAATTACAGATATGGATTGTGGGACAGAGGGTTAGACACGACTGTCCTTCAATAATTGAGGTAAGAGTGACCACCTGTCCCTCTTTCATTTAGGAGCCCAGGAAAAATAGTGTTTTGCGAAGAACTCATTGTAATTTTAGGTTGTTGGTTTTTTTTCACCATAAATGTCCTAAGAAATATTAGTTAGAAATATTGCGTGCCAATTTTAGTCCACAAATACAGTATATCCATGGAAAGTAAGTTTCGTTAAGGGTTAGTTTGTTTAAACATGATTTTGAATATGCAAATGAGTTCAACAGATTGTTGTATCTAAAAACAATATCAAAGAAACTTATGGATACGTTCATAAATACATTTGACCAAAATGAGCATCTTCAGCTTTAGTCTGGCCATATTGGCACACATCTTGAAATTAAACTTTAAAGACTAAACTTGTTTACCCAACCAGGATTTCTTAAGACTTTAGTTTGTTGATGTTGGAAATTATGTCTGGTCCAACAACTTTCTTTGTCCCACCACAATGTTGAACTTCCAAGTGTTTTACTACAATGTCCAACTGTTTCACTTACTGACGCACACAAGCACATGCACACGCACAATATGTATTGTTTCATACAGGAGGCAAGGCACTGTATATAACACAGTCTGCTTCCATATTCCACCAGTCAATCGGAACTTTTTAGCCTGATGAGTGAGTTACATAACCCGAATACTTTTTTGGCAAAGAAAGTCACTCAGGAAAGACTGACACGCCCTCTTCCTCTACTCTATACAACAGTTTCTATCAGCTCTCATTTAATCTCTGGGCCTCTTAATATCGACCGCGCAGGCACATATTTGCACTCTCCTCAATCTTCTGTCTCGGGGGTGATTGAGTCTCTCTCTGCAAACATGGACTGTGTGAAAGGCAGACTCACCCGGCTCCGAGGGGAAGACATTTCTGAGCTGCTCGATGACTTCCTGTAACTGCAACACTGTGTCCTGCTCGTGTTCCGGCTCCTCTCCTGGAAATATGTAGATAAAACTTTAAAGTCAAAGTAAAATGACTGGGAACAGCAATGGTCCGTATAGATGCAGTACATAAGCTCGGTCTACGACATCAGCCAACTGTGAAAAGTCGGGAGGGAGATTATTGCCTTCATTGGTTCTTTCCTCCAAGAAATGAGGTTGAGGAAGTCTCTGCTTGAAAAATCTATCTATTGACTAATGCAAAAAAGGCAAAGGTGGGAAGTACATGTTTTTATACAAGCAAACAGTTAGGAAAAAGAAAAGCTCAAACCTACACATGGAGATGGTTTGAAAAAATACAGAATCTTGTGATTTGGTTCATCTGAAAAAATTTAATAATTTGTTCTACGTTTCTGAAAATGTCATCCAAATCTTTGAATAACATTTTAATATTTTGAGTTATGTTGCATATGGAAACTCAAACAGACATATGCCAGTGATCACTTTACCTCCTGAGCTTTTCGAAAACATATGTACCACAATGCCAACCCAAAAAAATGCTGTTTTAAATTGTTTTAAAATGTAAAACAAACAAGAACAAAACCTAAACTGAACACTCCCAAACAAATCATACTCAAAAAATAATGTCACAATACTGAAATGCAAACTCAATTCTGAATATATCTTCTTCGGACAATGAGATTCCATTTTTAACATACAATACCATATTTTAATACATTTTAATGGTACCACAATGTTTTATACAGTACTTAGTTGGGGTTCAAATGATAAGAAAATTGTGCAGAGAATCTAATCCTGTTTTTATCTTCTTTAGTATCAATTCTTTCTTTCAGGTTTTAGACACTTTCGACAAAGCCTACCCAAAAAAGGAAATAAACAGACAAACAGTCAATATGGCTGCAGCCTCCACATCCTAACTGAGCAAAACATTTTAGATCTTCTTGAATAAAAGAAGTCTGCAAACTTTGTCTCAGTATCTTGAAATTCCTTTGACAGTTCACCCTCAAAAGGCAGATTATGACTTGATGTTGTAGATATAAAAATGGTAAAAATCTGTTCTTTTCAGAGGTAGATCCACTGCAGTGTTCTGGGTTTGTGTTGAGCTCTGCCCTGCTGTAACCTGCGTGTTATGTGATGCATCAGAGCAGAATAAAGCCTTCACAATGCGTTTGTCTCTGACCTGCTGTTTCCGTGTCGGTGGTCTCTCTGCTCTCGGCCGGCTCTCCGTGGCGTCCGGCCCCAGACACGGGCGATGACAGCGTGGAGGGCTCTGACCCGTTGGCCTCCGAGTCGTCTTTGGGCTGAAACAGAATGCGATGTATGTGTGAAAGGGGCCTGCATTTATCAGATTTTTTTTTTTTTTTCATATGACATGTGACAGTATTTGCCTTTTCTTTGAAGCTGCTTCTTTTCTGCTCTAATACTGACACCAGGGCTGGACTGGCCATCGGGCGTACCGGGCAATGCCCGAAGGGCCGATGCCCATATTTGGGCCGGTCTGTTTGCCTCATACAAAAATGTTTTTTGTGAAAAGTGTAAATCCGTTGAGAACTGTTCGAGGGGAGCGCGCGTGTCCGCGGGGCACCTGCTGCATGTACTGGAACGGGATTCCACCACCTCAGCGGCCGCAGTGTTCCCGCATCCAGCAGCTCTGAGCTGGACGCGGGAACCGCTCACCGGGAGCCGCTCACAACACAACACGGTGAGCGCGTAGCCGCAACGTGGCCATGTACCCAAGACCATAAACGCGCACAGGACCATGCATGTCTTTGCGTAATTTGTGCACCCAATAAATACACCGCTGCAGGAAACAGTCCGCGTCTCCCCTCTCCTCTCGAATTGCGACTAAATTAAAGCTCGGGTACCTAAATTTTCCATTGCATTAAAAGTTCATGTTTGAGCCCAAAAGTAAAATGTTGTGAACAAATTAAACAGATTTAGAGCTAGCCAATGGCTGACATTATGCATTTCAGACTTTTTTGACCAATTCTCATGTCTGTGTCCACCTCCCTCACTCTGAGACATGTTTATTACTCTCTTGTAATGTAGACTATTGCACTTTATTTTTTTGTTGAAACTACAGACATCCTGATCCTCTACAGTATGCTTCCACATACTGTATAAACCAGGGGTCAACCTTTAGTGCTCCTCCAGTGGCTCCTGGAGCCTTTTCAAAAATGTCTGAAAATGGAGTGTGAGGGCTATATTTTATTCCTAGTTTGAATGTGGTTTCTGTGGGAGGAAAAACATTCCTAACGTATGTCAATGCTGTAAAAATGTGTATAAGTAATATTCAATTTCAACATTTCTGTCAACGTAGTGAGTCATATCCTGTGGCGCGGCCCCGCGGCAGGCGGCCGCTGCTGTGAACAAACCGGCGTGTGCGCACGGATCCCAAAGATAAAAAGAGAAAGAGTCGATAATAAGACTGGACTAAGGACAAGACTGAACATTTGCTTTTAGTCAATGAGGAAGGACTGCTTCATGTTTGCGATGTAATAGGAAGTTTTGTTGCAACATGAGGAACAATGAAGCACCAAATACCGTTCACAGGGATTACGTGAAGGATTCTTTCATACAAAATCCGGAGCACCTTTTTCAGACTTCAAAAACCTCCGCAAAGACTGTGAAAGAAAAGGCCATTAAGGACATTCAGCTTCAGCAAACTTCAGCCTGTGACGTGATCGATATGAGCGGACAGTGCAGGTGTGTGACCTTTGAGCCAAAAAGCAGTTTTATTTACTGTATTTCTACAGTTGCATGAAGGCAAAAAAATGGAAGTCAAAGTTAAAGCAGAGTCATCACGTGGTGCGTCATTCTCTCCAGGACACGCTGCAGTGAAAACACACATTTGATAATCATGAATGCTTATTATGTATTTGTAGCCTTTACTTGGTCATTTAGATATTAGGCTAATGTAGCTAATGTAGCTACATTGTGTAACCATCATATAAGCTTTATACAAGGCTGTTATTTTTTTGCCGCTCCAGACAGATGTTTTTAGTTTTTTTGTCAAATATGGCTCTTTGAACCTTTTGAGTTGCCGATCCCTGGTATAAACAAACTGTAAAAAAGTGACAAAAACATGCCTGGGCCGGTAAGAAGGAAAAAATGCCCGGGCCGTTTTTTTGTCCCAGTCCAGCCCTGACTGACACAGAGGCAGTTTCTGAAAGTCCAGTTATTGCCTACCAAGGGCACTATATAAGGGTCCTGCCAATTTTAGGGGTGTCCAGAGGTCCATCAGGGGAACAAAGAGTGCACTCAAGGTTTCTTTTTCACTGCATCTCGGAAAGTAGAGGCCAGCGGCTTTCATTCAGTGTTGAAGGAAAGCGGATAGAAGAGCTGTTTTAACGCACTACAAAAAAAATGTTAAGAAATGTGAGCTGCATGTGTTTGGGATAATTACGCAAAAAGCCACACTGTCCATATACCGTCCACCCGGTCACCAGGTGTTTTTTATTACTGTGGCATACCTTATAAAGCTTATTTTCTCAAAAACAACAATATTAATTTTGCTCTAAATCTTCAAGGAATAGCCAAAGCAATCAGCCACAGATGAAAAATATGAGATAAACATAGAAAACACAGGACATCTAGGCTGCATTTCTCTTTCCTTCTCTGCTTTAAATAATACATATATTTACTTCATAGAATATAGCAAAACATTTTTTTCAAAGAGTGCCCCCTGGAGCACACCCACACGTGACTGACATCATTCTCAGCGTCATGCCCCTCTCCGAACTCATAGATGACATCTATAACCTGCACATTACCCATAATGCTTTGCACATGGGTGAGTATAAAGCTGGATCCGGCTGTATATGAGAGATTGATTGTCGCAGAGGATCATCGAACAAAACGCTAAGAGCTCGAAGCAAAAACACGTCTGATGGAAAGAAGTTTCTAAGAATAAAAGCAATGAATGCATCATTTACAGCAGTGGTTCTAAACTGGGGGGACGGGACTCAAAAGTGGGTCGCAGGATATTTTTTAGTGGATTGCAAGTCTTTACCGGGGATCAATAAAATAAAATATGTATCTTTTAAACTTCAAAAAGTAATCGAGACATTAAGCACATATAAAGACAATTGTCCAAAAATAAAGTTCTCCAAAGTACTTTTTTTAAACATAATTTCCTTGATTCCTAATATTCTATTAGTTATTTTTATAATAACTTTGAAAATAGCTTTGTAGTGTAATTCAATGCTTCCAGAATCCCCCAGAAATAATATACAGCATTGTACATTACTTATACACTTACATTGCGCTTCTATTTGGATTGTGGCTTGGTGTTACATGTGGATGATTCTAGTGCAGCCATTCCCAAAGTCAGTAACACCGGGGCCCCCTTAAAAATCTGACGGGTCTGCGAGGCCACCCGAAATAATAACCAAGAAGACAACGTTAAAAATAGGCTCTTCTCGTTATTTTATTTGGGGGAAATAGCCTCTGCTACAAACATGTACAGTAAATGACGCACCCCACTTTGTAATACACAAATGATCAACAATTTGATGATCCAAGTCAAATAATGAACACAAATATTGTAATATTACAAACAAAATATTGTTAATTTAACATACAATAATTAAATAAAACTTTTTTTTTTATGACCTCTCGCGGCCCCCCCACTTTGGGATACACTGTTCTAGTGGATCTACAGCCCGCAGCTGCCCCTCCAGGCACAAAGCATTATAGTATTATAGTATCATAGTACTGTGCAAGTAGTAGATAGACGACATACATGTGCGCAGCCCTCTGCTAACATTTCATAAGCATATATATATATATATATATATATATATATAAAAATGATTGGATGGTTAATATAACCTGTAGCAGGAGCTCCCTGAGGCGCCGCAGCTGAGACTCCAGCTGCTTGTTGTGGTCCTCCAGGATCTGCATGCGTGTTTCCAGGCGGCTCTTGTGTTGACGCAGGACCCGGGCCTCAGCGAGCAGCTCCTCATCCTGAGCTCCTCCGGTGGGAGAGCCCAGAGCCTCCTCCCCCGCCTCCATCAGCATGGGCACCGACGCAGCCTCTTCATGCTTCCACTTCAGGCGCCTGTACTCTCCCTGCAGCACCCTGTCAGCGCCACACACACTCAGCTCTTACTACTTTTATTCACTTTGAAAACTCAACCTTATTTCACATCATACCTCTTCCTCACAAAGACGAGGTATAGCTCACATGTGGACAGAAACATTTGATTTTAGATATGTCTAAACATAATAATAATATTGTTGCTATGATTTTCATAGCAGTCTCCATATTATATTTAATGGAAATGGGATCATGATTAGCCGAGTCAAACAGCGCCGCGGGAAACTAACAACATCCCACATTGAGATGCAGAGATTTCATTTGTGCAGAATCAGTGTCACCTGTGAGAGAGTCCTGCTTCAGGGATTATTTGCACTCAGACTGTGCGATTGAATATTTTAGATTACAGCTAAGATTACATGGCAACGCTACATAATGTGAGAGTTTTATTGAAGTTGGTGTACAATATGTGAAACACTGATGAACAAATGTGGGTCAAGGTCTTCTGCACCTAAAGGGCACGAGCGACTGTGTGCGCCTGGAAAATGTCACCACTAAAAGAGAAGATTTCATTCTACATCATGATGATTCACTTAATAAAGGTTGCCACGGGTTACCAATTAAATCAGATGAGGGGAAAAGTAGTATTCATTTACAAAGGTCTAGTCCTTTGTTTTTACACAACACACAATCTTATACATTTGAGATGAGGCTCAAACTTGTCGTTAATTTAGAAAGATTTTTTACTCCTGATTTTTGTGATAATACAGTTGTCAAAATGCACAGTAAAACTAATATTCTCCAGCAGTGGTTGTGACCAGGCTGGAAGGTCAAAGACAAAGGCCGTAAGGAAGGCTTTAACAGCTGATCCATGCAAATTCATAATTATTAACATCAATTCCTAAAAAGAGTGATTTCATGTTACAGTGTATTATTTACAGCAATATATTTTGTCTGTTTCATCAAACATTCTAAAAACATGTGATCTTTTCTGAACATTGTTGTTATTGTTACTTTTCCTTAATGATTCTTCGTATCATCAGTAGTATTTTGTACTTGTCACTTGTATTTATCAAACAGGAAAATAAATACGTACACATTACTGATCGTAATCTCACTGACGATTTACTTTTGATTAAAAAACCATATTTGGGGTTTAGAAGCTGATTATCCAAGCAGAAAGCAGTCAGCATCACAGGTCATTTAGGTTGCCAGTTTCTTTGGTGAAATCCATCTGTTTAATCCTCATTATCACAAGACAGGCTTGAATTATACTTTGTGAAACCAGAAATCGCACAAATTACAATCCACCCCTTTCAACACGTAGCCATCTGAGTATGAAGATCTGCAAAAGAGGGCCATTCATAACCCCGTATTTTTGGTTAAAACAGGCTTGTGGAATCCAAAATAAAAACCCACATTTCTTCCATCTATTAAATTAGTTTTCCTGCAGCGCAAAGTGAAGCTGATGTTACAAAGAAGCCATTTTGACATTCTCAATTTAGATAGAGACTGTTGTAATTTCATGAAAAAACGGCTCAATCTCATTCAGTTCAGTTTAGCGAGCTGGTGAACCGCACACTCTGAAAAGTTTCCAAAAGTCCTTATAAAGTCATTGCTGTGAATAATTCATTGATTGAATGAGTCGAGAGAGGGAGTTATGATAAAGGTTTTGCTAACTGCCTAATATTTTCTTTAATCGCAAATAGAGAGCACTTCACTCCATTCTATAGTCACAGCATTAATAATAATAATGTGATCTTTTTGGCTCTATACCTGGGACACTCAGCAGATGTTTGCATTTTCCCAACTCATTTTTTTGTGCTTAATAATTACAGCATGCCCCAATTTTGACAAAAACTAGGTCTCTCCTCTAGAAGCACTCCCTGCAGTATCCGCCTACCAGTCTGACTGTACTGATGAGCTGCCCCTGAGATGCACTCATAATCCTGTCCTCGTCACTCAAAATGGAAACCACAACACTCCTTTCGGCTCACGAAACTGTCAGGCTCTGGGGTAAATATCCACATGTGACACATAGTGACGCTGTAGGGTAAAAAAAATGTGGATCATTCAATGTCAGTGTCACTAACATCCCACTCTTTTTTTCATGAATCAGCAAAAAAAAAAGTCTCTTTCATGAACCCAGTCCCGTTCATGTCTGTTTTAAGTGCGCAAACTTTGTCGGCAAAGGGTGTGTTTTGTCGCTATTTAATTTGGAGCATATACTTAGTTGAATGTTAAGGAACTGCTTGTTATTTTTTCTCAAGCAAGTCGTTCCCCAGACAACAAAGACTGACGAGTAAGTCAGTCACACACACACACACCTCTATACACACACATGTTAATATTAATTGCAGCCAATGTTTTTATAAATGAACTGGCAAAATCAGACCATTAGTTACAGAATTATTTTTGTAAGTCACAGTACAGTAATTGGTGGTGGATGAAAATGACGCACCTGTTACACCTTACAAACCAATGCTTGGACAGCGCAATAGCACAATAGCACGTTACTAAATATAGATTTCAACCTCATTCCCAGATACCTTCTCAGACACGCTCTGGGGCCGCAATCAAATCAGACCACAACAAGCCGTCTACATCTCAATGGAAATCATGTTATCTTTGCATATTTGCGTAGTAGCCCTGTAAGTCAAAATGTGTCACTTTGGGCTGAGAGCATTTTGCTCTCGTGAACTTATAATATGGGTTTATTGGACACTCAAAGACGCTTTACATGTTATTATTCATTCACTCCATACACAGCGGTGATAAACTACAACTGAAGCACAATAACAGAGGCAAACAGTATGCGTCATTGGCCCCTACGACCACCACCAACCGTTCTTTCATACAACAGGCTCATTCTCACTCTCAGACTCAAACTTGTGGTGAACAATTAGGATGCTCAGAATGAAAGAGAGAGGAAAAAACTTTGTCAGCTTTGCAAACAAATCCTGCTTCAACCCTTAAAAGTTCATGTCCCACTCTCTTCACACTGTATACACAAGTACACAGTGTGAAGAGAGTGCACGGCCTTGGCTCCTCACCTGTTCTCGTTCTCCAGACGGGCCAGGGTCCTCTGCAGCTGGTCCTTGTCCTGGTGCTCCAGTTGGGCCAGCAGCATGTGTTGACAGGGGGAGTCCGGGTCCAGAGCCGGGCTGGAGTGACGCAGGAGGTACTGGTCTTCATCCCTGAGTCCCCCACAGAGGAGACAACACACTGAACCACTCCAGCACAGCCACAGCAGCACACAGAGAACATCGAGCAGGGATGAGGAGGAGGAGGAGGGCATTCACAGGGGCAGGGGGCAGCACCACTGGGCAACACTCAAACACACTTTCCTCACATGTATGACAGCGTGAACTACTGCTTTTATTAATATTAGTGGTGGCGAAAAATCTATTTTGTTCAGTATAGCAACATTTTGCACTTTTAATCAATACAGTAGAGCCAAGTACTGCGATATTTATTAAATAATTATCTGTTACACTTTTGTGTTTTCTCTGAGTTTACTTTATGTTACTCTATTATGTCGGCTTTTTGTTCCTCTAGTCTATTGTATTTAAATAATTTAAGTTATGTGCCGGATCTCACCATTCATGTGAGAGGCCTTTCCAGAGAATAACGATGTCTTGTCCTGTAATAAGTCTTGTATCCTGAATAAGATTTTACACTTCAGTTAATGTGTAGACCATAATAAATAAATGTGACATTTGAGGTAAGCAGTCTTATTTACCTTGGTTCTACCCAGGCCAATTGGGTTCTACCCAGGCCAAGTGGGTTCTACCCAAGCCGAATTGCGATCAAAGTGTTCTAACTGCCAGTCCAACTGGAAGCCATGGTTACCAAGGGATTTCCCTGATGACTGGTTTGTGGTAAGGTTGCTAGGATACGGTACCAGATACTAAAGAATAATGGAAACACAACCAGGAAGAGTCAAGAGCCAAGTAGTGGGGCTGGTGGAAATGAGGCTAAGGTTAGAATAGACAGTAGTATTTACTCAGATGATTCACTTTTCTTGGGTTTCAGACAAAAATATAGAACATTGAAAGCAAAGCAACATTCAAAGCACCTTGAGACAATCTTTCCCTATAATATCAACATAATATTTGGACTTGAATGGCTCATATGTTTTTCAGAAATGGAGGAATAGTTCCACAGATTGAATGACTAAAATAGTCACAGATTCCTCTATTCCACCTCATCCTCTCATAAAGGTCTCATATATCATGTACTAGTGTATTTCATGTATTTTCTTCAGCATTTTAGGCTAAGGTTGGGACATCATTTTAGAGTAGGTTTGGAAGCTTTATTTTCGCTTGCATGAAGTACTAGAAAACAAAAAGGTAAAAATGTGTTTACCACCTTGTGGCAATAAATAAATATCAATTTTTAAGGTCTCTAAACGTCCGTGTGTAGAATTGCAACATGCCGTCTGTTTATGTTGCTGATATTGACGGATGCATCTGGTCATATTTAATTTACATTTTATTGATGCTTGGATCAGGCATCAAAGCTCTCACTTGACGTGTATGTTGTACGTTTATGTTATTAGGGGAATATTTATCAAATGTTTGCGTGTGTGCAGAAGTGATTAGTATCTCTTAACATCGAAGCAAACCATATTTCTGTATATGTCTGATAAAACTAATCCGGGGGAAATCACATTTCACTTTGCACAAGCAATTTAGCACCAAGAATAAATGTTATAAACACAAAGGCACTCCTTGGCTCCAGGGAACTGGGAATTGGGATATTTAACACTTCTCACTTGCCCAGGAACACCATTCAAACTAATATTTCTCACTTATGAACAGGGAGAAAACAGAGGTGAACCCTCTCCACATACTAAACAGCGACATTTTACAACAAAGATAAGTGCCACCTGAGTTTTTAAACACTATATGAAATCATCTATATGAAATCAATTGCAAATTGCTAGCCTATACGCTTTAGCTACTTGTTTTGTCTGGAAGGATTTGAAGTGGGAAGACATGTTTTAATGGGGAAATATCACCCCTCCCAGTTTGGTAATCAGTTTCCAGCTACAATGTTACATTTTCAGGACTTTTTATACTAAAAAGATATTTAGTTCCAAACTGAAAATAAAAATGGTTCTACGCCACACAGTATATGAATGATTAAAGTCTACAACAGCAGGAAGCACAAAGCAAAGCCACAGCTATAGGGTCATGCAGCAGAAACACTTAGAAGGCATAAAAAATATAAAAGGGAACAACAAGCACAGTCCTCAATAAGCACTATAGGGCTTCCAGAGAGGAGAGGGAGCAGCACAGTTGCATATGAAAGATTCCAAAGGGGGAAAAAACTCAATGGTCCTTAAGATGATGCCGAACAAGAGGCAGCTGAAAGCCATAAAGATGAAATACTTAAATGAGGCTTTGAAATATATATATTTGAAAGGAGAAATGAGGCATAAAAAAACCGTTGTTAAAACCTCTAGATATTTTTTCTTAATTAGATGGAGGATTTTTTTTCTTTCCAAACAATAGACTTCTTTATGATCATGGACGAATGCCGCATAGTGAAAATGGATTTCAGCCTCTGTGTTTTTAGCATTCACCCAGTGTAATCACAGAGCTGCTTTCTCCCTCTCTCTGGGTCATTTTTATTATGTCTGATTATTTATGTGATTGAACAGCCATGCCTCCAAAGTGCAGCACAACGTATATACAGAAACAAACGTGTCGAGGGAGCGGCGGTGTGCATTGGAACTGGCTCACAAAAAGCCTTTAATGGTAATGAAGGGGGAGTAATGTGTGGGAGGCCATATACTTACAGACTTTCATCAGGAGAAAGGCTATCTGTGAAGAAGGAGCAATTCTGGCTTTCCATCTCTGCCAATCTGCAAGCGCACAACAAATGCACACACATGATTACTGCATATTTATGTAAACAAAGGGAGTCAACAGAATGGGGTCGGGGCACTGCCATAACACACACGGAAATTGCTTTCTCTAAAGAGGAGATGGTTTAAAAGGAAAAGAAGACATCAGGAGTCCAATCTGTATCCAAACAGGTGCTCATTTTCTTGTTAGAATATATTATTCAAGACAGCGGTTGCTAGTGATTGGAAACAATTATAATGCATGATCCAACTAATTTCTGCCGCTTGTATCCGCAATCTCGTCCTTTCGGTAATTACCCAAAGCTCATGACCACAGGTTAGGGTAGGGAACATAGATTGACCAGTAGATTGTGAACGTTGCTTTTTTGACAGTTCGATACAGCATCGATGCATCTGTGCATCACTGCACAGATTCAGGTCAGATTCAGATTCATTTATTTGCCATTTGCAGTAAAACCAAATTGGAAAAACTGTGCAAGACTACCCCAGTGCTCTTGCCACGGCACCATCTTTACGGCGCCATGCGACAAACAGTAGCATAAACAGCAGAGAGCAGTAACATACATATCACAAGACAGTTTGGATAAGACACATTATGTTTTGGATTTCAGGCTGTGACAATTCATCTGTCAATCTCACACTCCACCTTTCATCACTCATGAACAAAGCCCAGAGAAACTTCAACTGCTCCACTTGAGGAACTGTGATATCTAAACTAAAAATAAATCAAGTAGCTGAAGCGCAAAATGTGTATAACATTGTATCTTCCAATACAAACATAAGCCTCGCCATCCTTAAAGACACAAAAGTGGCAAGAAGAATGCTATAGAGCGCACACAGCACAGAGAGTAAAAGACAGATACATTCTTCGAAGATACAGGCAGTAAAAACGCTCTCCACATTGTTTGTCAGTGAGGAAGAGTTAGTGGGAAACAGGGGCAGCTGTGTGGCTTTCAGGACCAAGGACAGCGCTTGTGGCTGTGCACTGACAGCATGTGGACAGCTGCTGTGCACAGGCTGCTCTGTGAGCTTTCACACAACACAAAGTGGTGGCATTGAACGAAAAAACTTCAACAACTAGTATTAGCCCTCTGCTCTTGCTGTTCAACACAAAGAGAGAAACAACGTAACAAATTCTAGCTACATTGTTTTGTGGAATGACTGAGCACAAGACCTGTGGGTTTTTTGCGTATTTTATCTGCATCCTTCTGACAAAACAAACACTTTGAACTGTGGGGGGACTTTCAATACAGAAATCATGCCCCCTGGTTCAGGACAAAAATTCTAATACATTTATTCCAATAAATCTTTAATTTGTTTAGTGTACAATTCCTCTATTCTACAGATCAAGTGCATCCAGCTGTGCACCAAAAATAAATATGAAAATAACTCTATAAAGACAATCAACAAGTAACAATTCTGACAATCGCTTATGGGACAAGATCTCACTAATTACTGATCGTACAAACACATGGAACACATTCAAGTGAGATTTCTATGGACAAAGTCTCTGCTACAATAATAATGCTAGCAAAACCTTGTCCCTTCCATTCGTATAATATGACATCGATACACTTGTTTGTAATTTAGTACTATTCCTGTTACAAACTCAAACCTACATTCACTGATTCAAATGAGCCGTTGATTTGAGGAAATAAAAGAAAATGTATGAATCACATGACTCCACTGTACATCACCTCAGCAATATCTCGTTGGAACACAGCAACGGTTCCTGATCAAAGTCCTGCCGTGCCTTTTCTTTGAGGAGATTATCAAACACCAGGATCGAATGCAAACATGAACCAATGCCCACGGACTGCTCCCATACGCACACTATACAGTATAACAGTGCATGACAGAAGCGACATGTAAGTGGTGTTCTATTTCAAGACACAACCTCACGTCTAGATGTCATCAGAAAAGCGGAAAGACAGTCTGGGTCTATCCAAGTCCACCACTGAAAGAAGTTGAAGATTTATCTATGTCTTGTTACAGAGGCCACAAATGCTGACTGCTTGTAAATTACCCGGCAACACTATTCATCAGGAAGCAACACAAACCAGGGACAGGAGTAAATGAGGAAGAGGGCAGCGGGTAATAGGAACCAAGCAATAGGCACATACGCTGCGCATGGATCCAAATTTAAACGGATGTGAAGGGAGAAGAGAAGAGCTGCATGGAGGAATCCTAACAGACTTCGAAGAGGTTTTTTATTATGTCCCCCTCATCTGTATGGAAGCAGAGCCCAAGATAAAAGGGGAGTTTGTTTTGCTTAGAGAGCAGGCAAGGCGTGGGAGCGAGCCTATACAGGAGGCAAGTCTGTTTGTTACCCACAGCCAAATAATGCTATGTATCTGTTATATCGCAGGGGTGCATTTTTTTCCCATTTTGTCAAAAATCATGCACTAATAAATTCTCTGCACTTGTTTAGTTTATGTTCTGATAGTCAGTTTTCCCTCAGTGCATCGGAGCAATCAGGAAGTTGCAATCAAAGTCTAGCCTCTCATTTTTCTCAGAGCCATAGTGTTATTCTGATTCTCTCCTGAATGTTGCCTATTGTTAAGCAGGTTATCTACTATCTTCTCAGAGTACCATGAGAAAATGTACCATTTTTAATTGGTAAAAAAACATCTCCCTAAAAAGCTTTACAATGAAAAATAATATGATTATATTTACACAGGTGTGCAAGAAATGCATTTATGTTGTTATATAAAATCTTTTACAAACAGACATTCCTCCTCCCAGATGTATGAAATGGGGGAAAGTCAATGGTTCTTGTGGTTCCTAATATCAATATTGGTAAGTCACAAAGTATACATGTCAAATGTTGTGCATACTTGTAGTATACACATGTAATCAATTACCATGTTCTATTGTTTGATGGACCTACAAAAGTGTATTAGTCCAAGGTGTCCAGGAAAATACTTTAATACAATACTACTGAATGTTGCCCTTTTATGTTAAAAATACACTAATCGTAAATGAGGAAATAGAAGAAACGACTACTATTAACCTAACCTAGACCTTAACCTAAACCACGGCGGTCTACACCTACTGTATTTCATTGGCAAGGTTAAAAAGTCTGGACTAAAATGTTTTCAGAAAGTGCACTTTCTCTACAATGGAAAAGTAACACTGCACTATTTTCCTTTCCATCTTTGAAAAGTAGTGAATATAAAAAGCTCTCTTATGCAAAGTGAAGAGCTGAAGAGAACAAGAAAGAAATAGCAGAAGATGAGGGTAGTTTGTTCTGAAATGATCCATTTTCATAATAACATTGACATCTATGAAGCAGTGCTCACACCATACACTGTTCAAACTGCATTTTCAATACTGTACATTCATAAAAGACATCAGTAATCAATAATCATTACATTGACCACATTTTCTCTTTGAGCGCATGCACCTGTGTGTGCAACAAACATACATACTTACATACACTAAGCATGCACGTGTGTAATGTGTACATTGTACAGTGAGTGAATGTGAAAAATATTCAATAATTATCAACATTCATGGACATTGATATGCACCCATTCTTCTTTTGTTTGAACTGTTTGATTCTCTGTGTTGGTGATTTCAATGGTTTTGTTAAGTCCTCTGAGATTACTACTGTTGTGATTTAGGGCTATACAAGAATACATTGAATTGAAGTAAATAACATAGTCAGTATCTACTTAACCTTTAGTTGTTTGTTCTTGTCATTAACACCAACCTGCAGCGACTACAGGTGGATATGAGCAGATCTGCTATTTGTTTGGCAGTACTACCTCCGTGTGATGACAATCAAGTTCACCCTTTTCCAGTTCAGTGTTTGATCCAGAGTGCACAGTTTGGTCCTATTTTTATGAAATTGATAAAACATTGTGTACTCAAATGCATCCAACATAATCCAACAAGAATAAATATTATGCATTGTTTTAGGCTATTCAAAATGATAATGAGAATGAAATTATGAAATTAAGTACAAAAAATATAGATGGAAATGCAATAGTTGAATAACCCTTTTGGGTTGACAATGCAATTCTGGTCCTAGCTTTAAAATATGTGCACTATTTATCGAAAGTGTCTTCCTGCGATTTGTAAAAATAAAATAAAAAATAGCTGAAATGGAACTTTATAGTTTATGGAAAATCTTAGTTGACCTTCCTGTCACACTCTGTTAAGGTCAGGTCAAAACCACAAGCTCTGTCTCATTAAATTAAATAAACCATCCCATTGGCACAGTTTTTAATGTATGATTAATTCTGCCTGTGTCCCCCAGTGCCTACAGCAGTAATATAAAACACTTTGAGATGCAGTGAATACATTAGGAGGAAAAGATTTGGTGATAAAGTGAAAAGTCGGGCATGGATGAAGTCGAAAATACATTTTCAGTTCGGAGACAATAGCGGAGAAGGATTTGAGATAAGACAAGGACAAGAAGAGAAGAACAATTGTGCCGAGTGTGGTTTTCTGTTGGCTCACTGCACACGCTGTGGGCAGGGAGTGGGCGCCCCGTGTCGCTCTGTGTTTAGAACCTGTCAGACGGACCAAAACCTGCGAGGACAGCTCCCAGGTGAACGAGCTGATCTGCAGGCCCCATGTAAAGACTGCAAACACTTGTGCTTTCTTGACCTCCAGGCAACACACACACACACACTCCCACTTATGAGCAGCAGTGCAGAGAAAACAGGACCACGGCCAAACACATGGCACAGGTCAAAACAGCGGCACCGACTGTATGTCCAAGAAGAAAGGAAGCCTTGCTCTCATGACAACAACAGTAGAGCAAAATCAATCACTGCATGTCTAATTTTTAAATGTACTATTTATTTCTATGTAAGGTGACCTTGAGTGTCAAGAAAGGTGCCTAAGAAATAAAAAGTATAATTATTATTATTAAGTGAACCAGAAAATGTCCAGATAATGTGAACTAGACCAAAAAGTGTGAACATGGCCAAAAAAAATGATTCTGACCAACCAAGAGTTGCATGTATTTCACAATATACTTAAGTATAGAGTTAAAAGCAGCAATGTGTTATTGTTGCAACGCCACAATATGTAACTTTTAGATGAATAGAAAGTAAAACATGTGGCCAAACTGTGACCAGACACAACTTTAAACATGATCTTTTCCATGTTTTCCAAAAGCAACTCATTTATTTCCATAGAATTATCATGATGATTCACCAACACCAGAAAGTAGAAAGAACCTTTGTGATCTGTGAACTGTGGCCCAATTTCTGGTTCAACTACGATTGTAATTAGCACTAATTGCAAAAACATATTGCAACAAATGAAAAGTAGACAACAAGGATAGAGTAGCAAAGTTACATCAAAAGTGAGAATTTCAATCATTGGCCTTGTTAAAAGACAAAAAAACAGGAGCCTTTCTACTTATCCTAATCTCTACCTTCCCGTTATATGGACTATCAGCTTTAGCAAACGTGTTGCATCTACCACATGCACCCTTTTTCTTAAATGAGTCATGTTGAAGCGCCTCCATGTACAGTATATGAACACTTGATGTAAACCATGCGGGCCCAAAGTATTTTAAACTAGTCAAGTTTAAAATAAAATAAAGTAATTTCTAACTATCTTTGTGAACATCCTGCAGTCATTTTATATATTTTACTCAAAAAAGCAGCTACTTTCTTTTTTCATAATAAGTTCCATTTCCGAGTCTTGTCATATCCATCATCACAATAGTTCAAATGGTGAAAATGTTATAAAAGAATTGTAAAAGAAGGAACTTTTTGGTTTTATACCTGCTGGCATAGTGCTCGATGCGGCTGTGCGTGTCGGCGTGGGGGAGTCGCGGAGACGAGCACGGTCTGGAAAACAGCAACAGGAGAAAATGTTACTGTAGCTTTTTGCCTTGTGCCATTGGGTCTGTGTCTCCAAGTCTGTGTGTGTGTGTGTGTGTGTGTGTGTGTGTGTGTGTGTGTGTGTCTGTGTGTGTGTCTGTGTGTCTGTGTGTGTGTCTGTGTGTGTGTGTGTACAGCCGTGCAATCTTCACCTCGAGTTGGTTCATTGTATCAAAAAAACAACAAAAAGTTCTTGATTTCAGAAAGGAAAAACATGTGATACCAGTGCAGAATCCTTTGTGTGTAGACGCTTTCATGGAATATGGCAAAATGAATGTTATTTTTGATAAATAAGAGTATTTTTCCATGGTAGGTGATGTACAGTGGTTTAAAATGCCACACTTTTCTATTTAATCTTTCACGTCAAAGTTTTCCATCTCTAGTTTGCAGTTAGGCAGTGTTGCTTGCCGTGCATTCAACCCTGCTTTCATCTGCATCTAAGGCCAACATAAATCAAAACTCTCGGACCATACATTTTTCAAAGTCAATATTCTGTGTGTCTGAGTTCAAGTTTATTGGCTGATGCGCTGCTGACCACAAGCAGACGCTGCAAAAAGGCTCAAGAAGCTATAGGCTATTTATATAAGGTAAGCAATATATGAAAAAATATTATGTGTTTCATAATTTGCTTGACAACTTCAATAATTAGAACTCACATGTCATAAAAACCGTTCAATACAAATACGACAACAAAGTTTTATTAAAGTCCTTCATTGCTTCTAAAAAGGCCTCACCATTATTACCAACTGATAAAGTATTAATCTATTTTCCAACTCTAACTCATCTAACCTAACTCTAATGATGAATGAATGTGTTTAAAATATTATAGTTGTTACATAGGTGCTTTGGAACACCACTATATCTACTCACAGAGAGACAGTTTAGAACTACTATGGTACTTGAAGCGGTTGAATTATTCTAGTGTAGGCGTCACTTATCCAAACCCAAATCCTTATTTTCCCCTTTTTTTTATTTTATATCTTGACCTAAAATTGTAATTCCATTAGTAGAATAAAAAAATCAGCCTTTGCTCCATGCCTGTGAGCTAATTTATATGATTGAGTCTAGGATGAACATAGAGCTTTTAGTGTCTTCTGACATGGAGACCTTGATATGGTCTCTATGACTAAAGAAGTGTGTGTGTGTGTGTGTGTGTGTGTGTGTATTTGTGAGATTGGTAGTGGCCCTGAGCGCTGTTTGGGAATGATCTCATTGCTCCTTTTTTTTGTACCTTTGGGTGAAAATCATCCATGTGCAAAGAATATTTTGCAGGCTCACAGAGGACAGGAGAATATCATTATGGAAATCACAACCAAAGAGATGTCCCTTTGACCCAGTTTGCTGAAGCAGAGGGTCCTGGCGTGATCATTAGTGTATGGGGGGACTCACGTTTCGGAGGTGTCGGCTTCCAGCACAGACTGTACAGGTAAGTAGCCTCTCTGTGGGTGTTTGGTGAAATACTGCTTTGACCTAAACTTGTTCTTCAGAGTCTTGGCAAAGTCTCTCATCTTCTCCCCTGATGTTGTCTGAATAACCGTCGGCGGTCGGCAGAAAAAAGGGGACAGAAAGCAGATACGATTTAAGAATTCCTGGAAGACATTTTAAAATGACCTTTTGGTTACTAAAGAGCAGTAACAAGCTATAGATTTATGCAGCTCTTCTGCTCTGAGAATGGTAAAATCTTGATTCAAAATACTGTGTGCAAGTGAGCAGAGAAGAAGCTGGAGTCACGCTTAAATCATATGTGATTATGGTAAACAGTAACATAAACGCCACAGCGAGAAGATAAAAACCAGCAGAGCAGATATCTTATCTAAAGCTGCTGATAACAAGAGCTGCGTGTGCATACAGACATCTACTGAAGGATGGCGCCTGTGATTTATCATTGTGTGTTTGGCTTACAGGTGTGTAGTACTCCATGATGGGATAGTGCAACTTCTTTCCCTTGGTGGTGCGACCCGTCAGGAAGCAGGTCTGGCAGATGTCCACATTGAACTGCTTTAGGCTGCGATACCTACATCCACATCACATAAAAGCCAGAGCTGATGTTAGTCCAGTGTAAGACAAGACAGTATAACTAATATAAGACAATGTAAGACTGTGGACTGAAAGTTACAGCACATTTGTCAAACCCATTCTGTCTGACTCTGCTGATGTAACAAGCCGCCCTCAGGTGGTCCTCACCTGAAGCCCTTGATGGGACACTGCTTGCACACGGAGCACTTGGCCTGGTGCTTGGTGGATTCAGCTGCTGCTACACGGTGCAGGACGGGCAGCCACACCATGGACTGAGGCTCCAGGCTCATCCACTCCAGGAAGTGAGACACCTCGATTGTGGCTTTCCCAGAAGCCTGGAAGAACAGCAGTAATGATGTTGAGGCAGCATAGAACAATGAGATTCACATACAGTATACAGTATGACAGACAAAGGTTTCACAAGGCGAGTTCTAGGCTTAATTACCTGGAGGCATAATAAGACTACCTGTTTGTGTGTCTAGGCACCACCTAGTGGGAATTTCAGAAAGTGGGATAAAAGGAAGTAAAGCTAATAAAAGAATGACTTGCCAAGCGCAAAGAATCCTTGATGTGCTAAATTCTCATTAAGTCTGCATCAGAGATGCATTAAGAGGTTGATTTCCCTGGGGCTCCCTCCACTGCTCAAGCAGAGCAGCATAATAAATGTGTGTGTGCTGATCAGAGCGCGGCAGGGTGTTCGGAGGTTCTAGGCTTGTGGGAATAAGGGGCTCTTCTCCAGAGCTCAGAGACAGACTGCTCCACACAGGAGGTCAAATAACAACCCCTCACTCAGTGCACACCTGTTCCTGGTGGTTCTGCTCACACTGCTGAGCCCTAAACTGCAATGAGCAGATGGAGACTTTAAACATCAATAAAAATCTGTGGGATAAAGGATTTGCTATCAAAACACTGCTGTGTCATAAACTGCACAACTTTATGGATTACAAATGTTTTTAATAAATATAAACATGAGTATTTCTGTATTCATGGTTTCCAAAGTTTCATCTTTGATCTAATAACCTCACTGTACTGAACCTTTGCCAAGAGACTCATTGCAAGCATAAGTTTGCTGCTGTAGGCTGGTGCAGAGCCAGCCTGCAGTGCCAGCAAATGTCAATCATATTGGAGCCAAGTGATAAACGGGCACACGGGTCAAGCCTCAATTCTCACAACATGGATATTTCATCTGCAGCTAACTGCCCTCACATGGAGCAAATGGGTGAAGACATTGATTTAATCAGCAAAAGCAGAAGCAGCGAGCATGGCACAGAATAAGGTGTGGCTAATTAGAATGTGCTTCAAAAATTAGGAAATTAAAGGACTATCTAGAGGCCAGTGTGTGAGAAGTGGTGTCCTGACCCCAACAAAGGCTTTATGATCTCGTGCTCTGTGTATAATAAAAGAGCGGCTCACACAGGCTCGCACCCACAGTCAAAGATCAGAAAGCAACTTAATACATGTGCTCCACGGGATTTTGAAGAAGCCCCCCAACACCATGTTATAGCCCATGAATGTCTCTGCTTCCCTTGGTGCAATTTACTTTATGGTGGGTAACAACAACTGACTGTTTTATATGCATTAAAAGGAACATAATGAAATATTCATCTGCTGTAATGTCTTCTGGTTTGTATCAATCTGTGTAGCCTTTCTCCAGCACTGAACTACTTTTAACTAAGAAAGTGGTGGACAATAGACCTCACAACACTGTTTTTCAGTGTGTTGAAAATGCAGTGCTGTTGATGCAGCACAAGAGACATTCTTAAAAGATGAAGGTTGAGAGAAAAAGCTGTTGAAATACTGTGTTTTTTTCTCCTACAGAAGGACAGGGGATTAGCATAGTCTTATCTTGGTTTCGCCGGATGGTAACAGGATCTAAAATATATAGATCTACTTGTAAAAAGTTTAAGAATGTACAGTATGACTTTTGGATGGGATTCTAGGATGACACAAAAATGCACAGCAGCAAGTAAGTAAGTAATCTTTATTCATATAGACCAGAGATTTGTGTGGAAATTTGTTCCCTCCCGCCGCACCACATGGGAGTGGGGTTGCACAGCAGGTGCCGGACCTATTTTACCTATTGAAACCGGAGCACCTGGAGGAAACCTATGCACACACTGGGAGAACATGCAAACTTCATGTTTGAACAACATGAAGGCTTTTAAACTAAAGTCGCACCTGCCGATTCGGACTGAGATACAGAGAGACTGGCACAACCCACACTGATGACTGCAACATTGTGAACACCGACTTATCAATGCCACTCAACCCCAGGCACATTAGTGAGGGAAATGTAACGCCCCCAAGTGTCACGTCAGACCATTACAACAGTTAACATTAGTGGGGTCTGGTGATAGATGACCACACCACCAGGCACGGCCTCAGAGTTTAGCACGGGCAAGGGAGCAGTTAGCCTGCACTCAGGACAAGTGGACCTTCACTTTAACCAGAATAGATGCCCTCTATTGAGTGTATGTATTCAGCATGATTCCTACAGAAAATATAAGGGACCAGCTGAGTCGCTGGGTAGAAGCCTATAACCGTATGCCCCAGAACTTCAGTGACCCAAGGGCCACAAGTCAAAAAGAGTCAAATGACCAGTAGAAAAAGAAAATAGAATTGTGAACGGCAATTCAATCTGTGGTTGCCTTATTGTTTCTGTTTCTTTCTAATTACAGAGATAGACCCTTTAGAGTTCCCTACTGCTGTTCTTCAAAAAAACAGTCTTTTGACTAAAAGACTGTTTTTTGAAGAACATCTCCACAATGATGTGCTGTTGAAACTGTTTCCATTTAGTCTGTTTCATTTACACATTATTCATAGGGTGTTTGCGCTCACCACTCTGAAGCAGCTGCGGACACTGGGCTCCACATTACTGCCCCCGAAGGCGGCCACCTCCCCCAGCTGTCGGGGGATCTGGATGGCCTCGTGCAGCAGCATGCTGAGGTGGCGCTGGTCTGTAGAGCCACCAGGACACGCCACCTGACGGAACAAGACTACAACCACAGAAACCACAGAAATATAGGTTAGATACATTTTAGTTACACAATGGACACAACTTTTACACTATTCTTGTCATAGTACAAGATTTCAAACTCAATTTCAATTCCTGAAGAAAAACAGTCCTTTGAGGCAATAAACTGATCAAGGAATCAAAGTAGTAATACTTTTGATTCTTCTGTGCTCCTGATATAGTTTAATATGTATCAATTAGTATTGAGTTTCAAAGCTCGATTTGATTATACTAGAATACTAGATACATTGATCCATCCATCCATTTTCTTCCCCTTAATCCATTTCTGGGTCGGGGTGGGGTGGCAGTCAGAGCTGCACCCAGTCCACAGAGCACCAGCCCCTCACTGATCCTCCTGCAGGTGGTGAGACCACAGGAGCTGAGATCTTTCAGTGGGAGCTTCGGGCAAAGTGGGGTTAAGTGTCTTGCCCAAGGACACAACGACAGCAGTCATCAGTGGGAGTCGTGAAGTAGGTCTTGTGGTGTCATGAGGTGAAGTGATGGAGGACTCAAAATGCAGGAATGCGAAAAACAAAAATGGTTTAATGATAAAAATCAAATAAAAGTCCAAGATGAAAACAAAATCCAAACAAGAACCAGGAACACAGACTGACAAGGACAGTCAATTGATTCTTTTGAAAAACCTAATCTACTGAAAACTCGTTTTGGTCATTCATTCATTCATTTTCAACCCCTTAATTAATACATTTCTGGGTCGGGGGGGGGTGGCAATGAGAGCTGCCACCCAATGCTCATAGCACTAGTCCCTCGCTGATCCTCCGGCAGGTGGTGGGAACAGTCTTCCTGAAGATGTGAGACAGGCCTCCTCTCTGACAATGTTTAAAACCAGGTTAAAGACAGTTCTGTTTAACTGTGCATACAACTGAGGGATTTTATATTTGTATCTTTCTTTTTAATGTTCTGTGATAATTTATGATTTTAATGCTTTCTTGTTTTGTTCAGCACTTTGAATTGCCTTGTGTATGAATTGTGCTATATAAATAAACTTGCCTTGCCTTGCCTTAAGTGTCTTGCCCAAGGACACAACGATAATAGACAGGGAGGTCTTGTGGGGGGATCTGACCCACGACCTTCAGGCCCAAAGGCCAATGCTCTACCAACTGAGCTAGTGCCACCCCCATTTTGGTCATCCGATTAGAATTTGTTTAGAAAATAAATAAATACTACATATCCTATAACCAATATTCACAATGGATGGATTTAAATGTGTCCCATTTTGTGTTCACTTTTGGCTACAAACTCCAGTTAATCCTGATTATCTATACATACACTGGGAAAAATTTAGAGCAAGATATACATTTGGACATATTTTAGCTATTGAGAAAATGCAATGCTTTAAAAGGGACCTAATCTTATTTTGTATATTGTGGTATTTTTTTGTGTTAAATAAAACTCATTTTGACAGATAGTTTCACCCTTAGCAGTTTCTATCAATAATAATCATGCAAAAAGACATTTGCGGAAAAATTGCCGAGACCGGAAGTGACGTACCCCAACAAAGGCTTTATGATCTCGTGCTCTGTGTATAATAAAAGAGCGGCTCACACAAGCTCGCACCCACAGTCAAAGATCAGAAAGCAACTTAATACATGTGCTCCACGGGATTTTGAAGAAGCCCCCCAACACCATGTTATAGCCCATGAATGTCTCTGCTTCCCTTGGTGCAATTTACTTTATGGTGGGTAACAACAACTGACTGTTTTATATGCATTAAAAGGAACATAATGACGTATAACGTTGTATACGGACGTTTTAAACAGATATTTGTCATTCAGTGATGGACAATACAAGTCAGGGGCTTTTATTTATGAGCTCTTGCGTACTTGTTATGACAGTAATTCTGTTTTGAGGACTCTGACTCGGTTCAGATGAGGAGCAATCTGCAAGAAATGGACATTTGCGGACATTAGGGCCGTTTACACGGGCTGGAGTCATGTCATGGTCCGACCGGGTCCGACCCGTCTCGACCCGGTTTGCGGATGCGGTCAGTTTGAGCTCGATGGTGCACCCGGGGGAGTGTAAATAGTGTTAGCGAAGGTAGCGCTAGGGACGAAGGAATGGATATGGGACATCGTAGTGCAGAGAAAAGTTAAGAAGCGTAAAAGTGACTACCGTGAAATGAAAGATCCCAGCCGTGAAAGCGGACAGAACTGAAAAGTCTGGAGGTGATTTGACAACATGGATTGACGCTATTTTTATGGACATCAGCTAACAAGCAAACATCAGCTAACTCGTCAATACCCGCAACTCAGAAGCCTCAACTCTGTGTCCCAGCTCCAGATGTTGAGTTGAGAAATGGTGAGTGTCTTCAATCAAATGCAAACATGTAGTGTTATGGCCTTATTCTGAACATGTGTCTGTGGTTCTAAAGTCTTACTAAACATGTGTCTGTGGTTCTAAAGTCTTACTAAACGTGTGTCTGTGGTTCTAAAGTCTTACTAAACGTGTGTCTGTGGTTCTAAAGTCTTACTAAACGTGTGTCTGTGGTTCTAAAGTCTTACTAAACGTGTGTCTGTGGTTCTAAAGTCTTACTAAACGTGTGTCTGTGGTTCTAAAGTCTTATACTGGCCGTGTGTCTGTGGTTCTAAAGTCTTATTCTGAACGTGTGTCTGTGGTTCTAAAGTCTTATTCTGAACATGTGTCTGTGATTCTAAAGTCTTATTCTGAACATGTGTCTGTGATTCTAAAGTCTTATTCTGAACATGTGTCTGTGGTTCTAAAGTCTTATTCTGAACATGTGTCTGTGGTTCTAAAGTCTTATTCTGAACATGTGTCTGTGGTTCTAAAGTCTTATTCTGAACATGTGTCTGTGGTTCTAAAGTCTTATTCTGAACATGTGTCTGTGGTTCTAAAGTCTAAAACATGATGGTATGTGTCATATCTATATCTTTTACTAAACGTAGTTAAAGTGAAACATGGATTCATGGTTCAAAGACAGTTGTTGTGTTTTCTGCTGAATACTGGGTTGAAACTCGTAAAACTGGTTTTAGTTGGAGCTGGATAGAACTAATTTCATGGAACTAGCGCTGGTGTCTTCTCTGTTTGTTTGGACCGTGGCCGTAGGGACTGCTGTTTACACTCTTCTTTTTGTTAGTTTCATTGCTGCATCCCGGGGCCATACAAAATACACCCATTTTAAGGTTTATTTGTGTCAAAGCGGCTGCAGGAGCAACGCCATAAACAGTGAGGCGAGAGCTGCGACCCCTCTAAGTACGTCATCATTTTTCTGGCCAACCAGAGGCGTTGATATTAAAATGTTATTTTACTGATTTATTACTTATCTATAACACAAAAACACATTGCAAAGGTGGGAAATACATGCTTTTAATGTGTTTTATCAGAAAAAAAATAGTTTTTAATAACGTTAGTGCCCTTTTAAGTCTCCTCCACTGCTTCGCTCCAAGGCAAAGGACCTACCTCCTAAGAAACAGCCTGTATGCAAACTGACATATTTATAATGGTGTAGAGATATGCAAATTCATCTTTTTGTACCATTCGCCCAGGCCTACTATGTACTCATGCCATACTTCTAATCAACCCAAAAACATGCAACACAAAAACTAAGCAGTTGGAAACAGATGAAAAGTGGGTTTACAAATAACAATATAATTTACATTTGAAGAAACGCGTCCACAGGAAGCAGCTCTGCCCTGATAGGACGTGTTCTCAGACTGAAATGGCACCAAAGTCTTCTAAATAGTTAAAAATTGAATTATTTATCCAGCACAAAACTCTCCATTAAGACTCCAATGGCCCCAGCACATGGGGTGTTTATGAAGTTCGGAAAGTGGAAACATTAATTTGGTTAGGTTTGCCCTGGAGCGTAATTTCAGCTTTTGAAAGTTTCTGGCAAAATGCAATAAACAGCCACTGAAACGCCATTACAGCTAGCTCTCTCTAGTTTCAGCTGAGATATAGGAACAATTTTAAGAAACACCATTTAATTTATTATTTGGGCAATTTAAACAGAGGTGTGCCGATGAATATTACTCCAAAACCAAGACGACTTAAAAGCCTGGATACATTCATTGGTTGTACTCATCCAAAAAAGAAAATGGACTAAAATGTATTTCTGTATCAGCGCAAGTTTCTGCACGTATTCAGCTGTTATACACACATTTGAAATAGTTTTGATAACTGTTTCCGACCAGTTTTGGCAGCATTTACAGCTGGTAATGAGAACTTATTCTGAGTAAGTGAAGAAAAAGCAAGGTCTTAGCTGAAATATTGTAAAATCTTGACTGAATGTATCAGCAGCTGCTATTTTTATCAAGATTTGTTGCGTGTACAAAAATATTCACATTGGAGGGGGCATGATCTATGATGCATATGTAGATACAGTAAATAAATAAACCACTAAAATGCACCTGGATTAGCAAGTCTCAAAACGATCTGATTTTCTAATTCTTCAATAGTACCAGAGAAAGTAAACATTTCTACTCTTATGGAAAGAAATTAAAAATGTAATCAAGTGTTTATCGCTTTGTCTGTGACTTTTTATAATTAGGACGGAGTTTAGACCAATTAATTGGAAAGAAACCAAACTGGACCGAAGGCAAAGAAGGCTGTAGGAGGCAGGGCCGGATACTGATTATGATTGTCATTATTACTTATTGTGTTTAAGGCTCAATGATTCTACAATATAAATGAAGTGGTTGTTTTGTTGATGAAATTAGATAAAAAATACTTGCTTAGACTGTCAGTGGGGGCCGCATGTTTGAGACCCCGGTTTAAAGTGCACAGCACGTGCGCTGATATGATGGGCTGTGACAAGTTGAGGGATAAATCGTAACTAATCAATTATTGAAATAGTTGTCAACAAATTCAGTAATTGTTTATTAAGACTGAAGAAAGATATGCTAATATCTGTGCTAGCATCTTTAACTTGTTACTTCAGGCTCAACTTAGCCTTTGACCCTGAAGGTTGTGAGTTTGAGCCCACTGCGAGACCTTCTCCACTGACTCCCAGTGATTTCTACAGTCGTTGTGTCCTTGGGCAAGACACTTTACCCCGCTTTGCCTATAGGGTGCGCAAAAGTAATAGTACGGTGCATGCCTTTATGTGCACATGTCTATATGTGTATTCATTGAGCTGAATTTCTCCATTGTGAAATCAATAAAGTATGTCTTCTTTTTTTTCTATCTTTATAAAAAAAATCCAGAGTGTAACCTAAATTCTCGGGCATCACTTGAGCTCTGTGTTGGTCAAATGTATACAAAATCCTATATTCACTGAGCTTTTGCGATCTAAACAATTCATCGAATACAAAGTCTGCCAACTGATCGATTATCAAAATTACGGTAAATTACAGCAATAAAAACCATGAATGAATGCAAATCTAAATAAATTGTCGTAAAGATTTTTGAAAAGGACAGTGTATAGGAGCAACCCCCGCAGCCCCTTAAGGCCACGCAAGTCCAGTTTCACACTTGTTGGAATTTGCAACCAATGTGTTCTCACAGATGGCGTCCCAGGCATGAGTAATCCTGTTCCATATCCCACATCAAATACAAGCTGCTCACATCAGCTACCGGGGACTAAAAGCTCACTTACCGTTTTACAGGAAATGAAAAAAAGCAGATTATAAGGCATTTTTAAACCATTGAATCCTATCTCGGCCGCGGTAATAAAATATTGTGACGTGCTTTATAGCCCAAGTAAAATCAGTGCTAGTCCGATCGTGACGCCGTAGAGATGAGAACACATGACTCGAGTTTCTGACAGGCAATCCTTTCAGCCGCCCTGTGTATGTAAAGAAAGCTTTTTGCATCAGGCAGCCCAAGTCATTTCCTCCATTAAACTAAGTGGACGCCTTTATGTTGCACGGGCATTTACAAGAGCTCTGTTTTTTAGCTCCATTGTTCCGGCTTGAGCAGACCCATTAGGGACATAGGCACAAACATTGCACTCACATTTGTACTTCTCCTGGACGTCGGCGTTGCACAAGCTCACAAGACCCATCTTAAAACTCAGCACACGCACCTTTCCATTTCGGGGGCTGCGAGAGAGAAAGGAGAGAGGAGATTATGTAAATGCAAAAAGGTAAGCCACTGGCATACAGTTCAGGTAGATACATGGACAGTGTGTATTAAGGGCCCCATACACGGTATGTTTGTATTTGTATTACTTAATAAGATGCAGTAAGCAATTTTTTTTTAACTTAGCTGTAGCACCAACTCAAATCCACTCCCCCCCTCCCCTCGCCTCTCCACCAAACCAAACATCCAGCATTTTCTTTTATTTGTCACAACAGGGAGAGTTGGCATTTTCTGTTCATGATAACTTCACTACTTTTCGGGTTTAGGGACGTTTAAAATACAGTATGTGTCTGGAAAAAATAAATGACTGCATCTTTAAGTGTCACTTACGGAATCCAATCCAATCTACTAAACAAGTTGCCTATTTATACATAAAAGTATCCCAGCTTTTTACATAAAGATTTGTTTTGTTATGGAGTATCTGTCATGGTGTGGACTTTCTGTTAATTTATCTGGTTTTTGCGCTCTTGAGTTTTACTTCATGTCTGTACGGTTGATTGTTTGCCCCGCCCCGATGTGTTACACCTGTGTCTCCCTGTGTGTATTTAGACCCTCTTCTCCTGTCATATTGTTGTCGGCCCATGTCTTGTCCCTTTTTTATTTTTAAATTTATTTTCTTGCTCCATTTACTAAATTTTATTGTTTTTGCATTTCTGCTTTTGGGTCCTTCCATGTTTATTTGTGACATTATCCTTGAGACATTTCAATTTAAATAACAGTTATATTAAAGAAACGCAAAGCCCCAATATTCTGAAAAGGTTCATTGCTTGACCTGTATTTTTATTACTTAAGTGTCACCTAAGTAATACAATACCATTTTTATAAAAACATTTTTTGTTAATTTAACTTTTTTAACTTAATTACTAATCTATTAATGTGACATTGATAGATTATTATTTAAGTTAAATTAACCAAAAATGTTCTGTCTGCAGCACATCATCTACGTTCAGTTTAATGCAGTGGACGAGTAAAAACTTCCCGTGTAAGTACGAGACTTGTTTTTATGTGATGGGGCTTTAGAGAGAAACAGAAGGAAGCGCTCCTTCAGGTCAAGTAGGAGGCAAGGATTCTCCTTTTATAGTTGCAACTCCTCTTACAGCAAGACTTTGAAGCCCACAAAAACATGAAAAAGGGCTTGTCAAAATCAGTTAAATTGTTGAGCAAAAAGGGAGGAAATACATAAACAAGCAACCAAGTATCTATGTCCCTAGCAGCCTGCTCTGCAACCACAACACCGAGGACAGACAGATGCCTGCATGTATCACTCACAATTATGCACAGTCTAAGTGTAAATAGTAAATAGAAAATATGTGGTAATCCTGACACAGCTTCAATTCACACCCGCTGCTCTGCACAGGTGAAGCTTAGGAAATTAGAATATTGTTCAAAGGTTCATTTATTTTTGTAAATAAAATGTTAAACTAAAACATGATAAATACTCATTACATGTAAAATAAAATATGTTGAGCCTTAGTTTGTTGTTATGTTGATGATATTCTGAGATGTTTTATTTGGGGTTTTACAGTGAACCAATTATCAACACCATAACTATCAAAGGCTTGATATATCTCACTTTGCGTCTTAATGACTCGTCGTATAATATTAGTTTCAAATTGTAAGTGGAATTAGTGAAGTAAAACGACTTTTGAATGATATTTGTCACCTTTTGAGACTGATACCAGGTCCAGAGTCTGTTGTGCTATTTGAAAGACACTCACTGAGAGTGATTGAAGTATATATATATGTTCCTAGCACTGCACATATTACTTTGGTAATATGTGCAGTGCTAGGAACAGCAAAGATACTGCGCAGAACCCTCAAGCTCCCAGGCCTCTGGTAGAGGACCCGAGCTTAGAGAGGGATAACCGCCCGCGGAGGGCCAAAGGTGAGTGGACAATTTTTTTAAAAATATAATATAATATAATATAATATAATATAATATAATATAATATAATATAATATAATATAATATAATATAATATATATATATATATATTGTATATCTGGAGGAGCCCTCTGCACTGGGAGCAGTGGTCGGTGTGGCTGCGGGGGTCGGACTCTTGGGCCTGGTGGGGGCCTGGGGCCTCGGTTTCATGTCTCCTCTGGGTCCTGTGTCGTCCCCTGTGGCTACGGGCGGCTCTCTGCTCCTGGTGCAGACGGCTCCTTGGATGACGCTTTTTCAGCTGGTTGCATCTGAACCCTGCCAAGTCTCTCATCATGGTTTTATTGTTTTACTGGTGTGTGTGTGTGTGTGTGTGTGTGTGTGTGTGTGTGTGTGTGTGTGTGTGTGTGTGTGTGTGTGTGTGTGTGTGTGTGTGTGTGTGTATGTGTGTGTGTATATGAGTGTTCATGAGAGCGTGTGTGTGTTTGTCTGTGGTGTGGGGTGGGTCTCTTGGGTGGTCTGGGGGAGGGGTCTTGGGTCGGCGGGATTGTTTTTAACCAAACTGTAAAGCACTTTGTGTTGCATCTTTTGTATGAAAAGCGCTTTATAAATAAAATTTGATTGATTGATTGATTGATATTTATATCAATCAATCAATCAATGTTTCGCTGAATTGTGCAATACAAATAAATTTTGATTGTGTGATTGATTAAATTAATAATACCTGACATGGGTCAGAATTGTATAGTGCAAGTCATTACAAGTGGGAAACTAACTCATCTATGGCTATCAAAAGCCACAACAGACATCGCAGGGGATTAGAGATGGCGTATTGCTGTGGTTCTAATCCCCGGATGAGCAAGAAATAAGCCAAAGATGACCACTTAAAGCCACTTAAAGGAGATGTCATTCACTTTAATAGTATTTTGTTTTTAAAATACTACATTTCTGACCATGTGACACGGCATTAAAGGAGCTATACCCGTTTCTGCAAGGTATGAATGTTTAGCACCGCCCCCCAACTCGCTCACAGGCTTCTCATTTCCCCTACGCTCTAATTCCACGGAGCCATCTAGTTTTCTTTGCGATATACATGCAAACATTAGCATGAGTACAACATTGTAAGCTGTACAACAATCACTGATGAAATGGTACAAAATCAACAAACAAAATATATAACTGAATGATTTCCGCTAGTTTTGCGTCCAAATGTAGTGCGAGGCGGTCCGCACCCGCAGGTCTCTCCCATAGACAAGTCTCTCCAGAGGATAGGATGTAAGCTAGCTATGTTCACCCGGGCTTGATTTCTTCTTTGATAATTTTTTTGCTTTAGTTCCCTCTTCTCTTCCTCACTGTTGTGTGGTTTTGCTGTGTCTGCAGATACAACCAAAGGAGTTATAGCCAATTCTGCTGACATGCTACTGTGTTTACCAGTGCTGTAGAGGCTAGAGGACGCAGCCTCGTTCTGTGATTGGAGGAGAGCAGGCGTCATGCTAAGTTCCTACTCAGCACTTTTTACGGCCTGAATTCAGACACAAGCTGAATCAATGAGCTCAAGTTTTCAATTAAATTACGGATTATACAACAACTTGTATGTAGGTATGGCTTCTTTAATATGCACAATAAGATTTTTTCAACAATAATATACTTAAAAATGTCCCTCCCTTTGCCATAACTATTACCAGTAACATTTTCTGTTGAAGCATTGTTAAACCAATGACGAAGGGCCTCAAGGATTTGAATTCATTTCAACCAATGAGGAAGCTGCAGGTTTAATCATTGCTTTTCTTCAAAGTTTTACTGTCTATTCACAGTTTGATAAGTAATTAACATTTCCTTTATGCACATAAAGTGAAAAACAGGCCTTATGACTATTACATGGCATAGGTCAGAGAAGCACAGTTACAAGTGTGAAATCCTATCATCTGTGGCTATCAAAAGCCACAACTGACATAATAGGGATTAGAGATGGCGTATTGTTGTTGTTCTAATGCCCAGATGAACAAGAAAAAAGCCAAAGATGACCACTTAAGTCACATAATACTTCGATAATAGCATAAGTGTTGTAAGCCAAGGTCACATGTGAGTGCCAAACAGAAATTATGCTTTATCATCTATTTGGAAAAGTATTAGTAAAGCACTGGCATGTTCAGATTTCACTGCTCACATGCCAATAATGAGGAAACGAATAACTACGTGATGAGCAGCAGCAGTTGGCAAAAGAGGACGGCTTATTGAATTAACATTTGAATCGTTAAGTGGAGAATCGTATCCATCTGAGAACATCAGCTCAGTGAAGTATAAAATTGAATCACTGTGTCGGAAAGGAGGAATCCAGAGGTTGCTTGTCAGACTTGTAGCCGTAAGACTGGTATAATTTTGCAGATGGGTTTTAAGGCAGAAGCATTAGTCATACTCTGGGGACGGTTTGCAAATGATGAACCATGGCTAAAAGTGGACTGAGAATGTAGGATGTTTTAACATATTTATTTATAACACTGTGTTCAAGACAAAGCTAAGATAAGAGACACTCAAACAGCTGTCCTCTTTTCACATTTGTAAACATGTACATTTAAAATTGATCAGCTCTCATCTTGACCTGGACCTTTTAAATATTGTATATAGTTGTTAGTTATTACTAAATAGTACTAAATTAAGACAGGGTTAGGGACTACAAAATAATAATGTATTGCACACTCAAAAGTCCACATTTTGATTTATTTCTTGATGTTTCAGCAATCATATAAAGTTTTCTATTTTTCTTTTGCACCACAATGTGACACATAAATAAATCTACAGTACCTTTTGAGTGGGCAAGGCTTTCCAGTTTTTCCAAATAGTTTCTTTTTGAACAGAACATTTACCACGGATACTTTCTTTATATTTCATTATTATTTTAAAACAAAAAAAACATATACGCAGGTTCAAGGTATTAACAATAATATTGACGCTAAAAATATGAAATGCCCTTTTTTAAAATGAGGAGATGAACAAACATGTCACTTTTGCTTACTGTGGCATCTCAAATTAAAAAATTAAACAAACATATTCCTCCCTGTATTCACACCTCTTTGACATCCCTTCACTGGAGCTGCAAACACATGTATAATGTACATATAACACAATAACATGTATGACAGCTTCACAGCAGTGCTCCATGTGCAGGGACCACATCCTGTCAGCACCTACTCTCTTTCTGCAGTGCTGGCATCTTCCACATGCACCACATCAGCCCAGGAGACACGCCATCTCACTATATACAGAACTATGCGTGCGCACAAGCAATAATATGGACTGCACCGATACCGTCATAAATAAACCAAAATGGCGGCTTGGATAATCCTCATTCTTATTCACCACTCACATTTATTGGAAGACAAAAAGCAATTACGGAAATTTATGCAGAGGATAAAGTCTGTGATTGTCTCTCATTAGCAGCCAGTGGTTAAGAGGTAGCTAGATATTCAAAATGGGCAGAGTGCTTGGATAACTCTTGCGGTTTGCAGAGCCAGAGCCCAGTGCACTCCCCTGGGATGGGACCACACAGAAAACAGGAGCGATCCGTGAAGACAAGCCGAAAGCGAACGCCGCAGTGTAGCAAGAAAAACGAAACTGGCACCCAGCCCGAACATTTGTTAAGTAGCTTTGGGTGTTTTCTCAGTTTGGTAAGAGTCCACAGAGATAGGGCTGCTGCGGATGGATGGTGAGGAATCAATGTCTTGCCAGAAACAACAACTATAAAATATGACAAAATCCAGCAAATAGTGTGTAATTCAAGCAGCTGTCAATGATTGCAAAGGTCATGCTGTACAAATCATTATTAACTGGTGTAACAAAAAGAAAGTAAGAGAGTAAATTGACAACACAAGGCAAACAAAACTGAGGCTTGTCTCACATTGAAAGAATGAATTCAAATCTAGAATATATCGCATCGGTGAAAAAAAAAGTTGTGTTTATGGGAGATCACAACATTCCAGAGAGCTTACAGCTGGTGGAAGCCAGCAGAGCAATCTTTCCTGGTAACTTTGGTAACAGTCAAAACGTTTTAGTTTTGAGCTAATTCCTGGGCTAATGTAAATTAAACAAAAATGGTCACTAAGTTCCACATCTTTGTCAGCACATGTCAACTATGGTCGAAATTTCTCATTAAGGTGTTTAGAAGCGGTGACAATAATCATAAGGCACATGCATAATGTAGAAACAGCTTTTAGACATTTGAATAATAATATGGCAGGTTTGTAAATCTAATCACCAACAAATAATGATTGATTCTTTCCCATAGAGCTGTATTGACGTCTTCCCGAAAACTGAGATACATTCTGGAACATTAACACTACCTATATTAGTGTTGTAAAGCTGGACTGTCTTTGAAAGAATCATTCACTGTCACCTGTTTTAAGAGTGTCTCAGTCTGTGAACAATGCATTGAGCTGCAGTTCCGGTATGAAATGTGCTTTTCAAATAATGTCCATCCTCTTCTACGTATCCTCTTATTCTCTCAAACTATATCTATAATCAGGGATTTGCTTAATTTCCTGACTTGAAGTACTTTAAAATGACAATAATGATTATGCTTATAGAATAGAATTTGCACCATTCAGAAGCCATAGTGTCATTACTGCTTTGTGTCGATGCTGACTTATTTTCCAACAGTTTTGATTCCACATACAGTAAATAAGCAGGTTACCTATAACTCACCAATCTTTTCTAATATATTGTTAACACGCTCAGGTTTGTAAGATTTAGATACGTGACTCAAATTTGTAAACAGTGGTTTTTAAACGTAAATGTGCACTTTATTTATCCCTGTAGAGACCCATTTGACCATCCTGCAAATGCCACTAGAGTTGATAATATCAAGAGAACACCTTGACATTAAAGGTGGGATACCTAAGTTTTTGTTTAATACATGTGGCTTGTTGCCAACTTTGTGGTCTTGTTTGTTGGGAACAAATGAGGCCAAAACACACTCTCGTCATCTTATTAGAAAACAAGTTATCTTTAGCACACTTGTAAGACTGTGAGACTGTTGATCTGATTGGCCGAGTGAGGGTGGTTTCTGTCTGAAAACACTGATTTAAATATGAGACGAAGGCCAAAAAACATATGAAAACTAGTGATGGGGGAACTTGTTAGATGGGTTTAATTAGGTAATTTTTTTACGGTTTGAAAATTAGGCACCGCTATTTTTCATGCTTTGCTTTGATCTTTATTTGAATGCTCTGATGAATAACAAAGCCATATCAGTTCTAACACCCCCAGCATTCTGTATTACCTCCATGTAACCATTTGTATTACTCAACACGATCCAAGTTCAATTCTTGTACTGTAATACTGTAAATAATACACGATGTATGCAAATGACAAATAATCCCTCCCTACGCGGTGCTGGAGAGCTGTGATCTGAGAAGTGGGAGGTTTCTGTCAGCTCTGCAGCACTACAGACTGAATCAGTGAGCTTATACTACAGAGCCAGAGCTGTGGAGGATAATGTCCTCAGATGATGGCCTTACATCCAACAATCTCATTTAGAACAAGGAAAGAAGTCATTTGGCCGGGAACATAATCCTCACGAAGCTTATGTTACACTTTATACGTCCTGATGCAGAGGCTTTTGCACAGGTTCATTTGAATCAAGGCACACGTTGTTCTTCCTCGTGCTACACAGTTGTGCTTTGAAGTTTACACATCCCCGTTTTCTGTTTTTTTGTCAATGTTTTGGAGATTATGACTGATAATGCAAACCTGTTGTTCCACGCTCATTTTAGAGTTGTGTGAAGCCATTTATTTTTAAATAAACATGTATTCTATATTCAAATTATAATGACAACGGGAACTACTCAAATAACCCTTGTTACAGCCCTAAGCCTTAAGTTTTGCTCTGCGTTTAGTGTGTGTGGGCGTGTCCACCCACCAATTATAGACATGGAATGATCTCTCATCTGGGTTGCCAGATTCAAAGATGAAATCCCAAACAAACCTTGTGTTGTGTGTCTCCTTAATTTTTTTTGTATTTGTTTATTTCAGGCAATGGCACAGATAAGTATGGACAAATACAGTCAAGTCATATAGTGCAATCGGATAAAGATAAAGACAAAAAGTATATACAGCAATGTTAAGCTATTTCTGTTTCATAAATTGTGAAACTCACATAAATAAACTCGTAGGAATTTAAACTCATTTTGCAAAATTCCACCATGCGGCCAGCCATGACCAAGGGCTGTCCAGTGCACACTTAAATAAGATGTCAGAACTGGACCTGGACTTGCTCAGTCTCACAAAGGTCTTTATAGAAGAATTTAAAAGCCTTCTGAATCTCAACCTAAACATAATTGCATTTATCTGCACAAAGACCTACAGAAGAGTACATGTTGGGTTTGCCCTGCCTCCCCCTCCCTTTGTGCACATGTGTGACTGGGGGCATGTGGGTTCTACTGCTGCTGAGAGGCCTTCATACCTGCATCTGATTCACTCACCCTGTCCCTAAAACTCTGGTTCAGACTCCACTTCTCTGGCAGATTATTCCATCTCACAAGTTAGTGTATTCTGTTGGCTTGTGAGGATTTGGTCCATGTGTTCAGCTCTGAACATCCTGCCAACTCCCTGTCCCCACTGGCTGCTTGCTTTTGTTTTTGTAAATTAAAATCATTTTTTGATCTAACACACAACCAGAAAATCCGTCATGATATCTTCGTGTATTATATAAGTTTCAACATTTAGCGCAAAACGATTCAGAAAATAACTGACTGATAAACTGTTTTTTAGTTTGTCTGCTATATACAGTACTTACACATACTAAACATTATTGAAAATTGGAGTGCACAGGCAGCGGTGAAGAGATAGTCGGAGCTGTGGCAACATGAATAAAGGATAATAGAAAATACTCCTTTATGCAAGTAAATGAAAGCAAAACCAACATGATCAAATTTACCAATATTTAAAGCTGGGGTACATAATTTTCAATGCAAAAGTCCACATGTCTTCTGATAAGATGAAGACAGTATGTTGAGGTCAGATTTGTTCACAACAACATTTTACTTTTTTCAAGACTTTCTGTCGGGATAAACATCATGTAAGAAAGCAGAGTTAGGCACCCCAGCTTTAAGCGCTCTCACCTGTCGTAGACGTTGAGCAGCCAGTTGAGGCACATGTCCACGCACAGGGGGATGTTGACCATGACAGAGTGCTCCTCCTCCAGCCGCTCGTACAGCGCCGTGAGGCCATGGATCACGTCCACCACATCCAGCACCTGCTCAGGCTGCTGCAGATCTTGCTCTCGGAACAACTCTCCCAGACTGCCAAGGGCCATCAGGTCCACTGCAGCGAGCACATGGCACACACACATACACAGTCGCACAGTCAGAAGAGGAATATGTGGAATTTTTCAATTCATTTTTTTCTTTTTTAACCCTAAATCACAACAGTAGTTATCTCGGAGGACTTAAAGGTACATGAGAGGATATTCTACTTCAAGGTGGATCACCTAAACTATTGGTCCTCCTAATTGTCAATCATTCTGGTGATTCTGGAGACACGTTTTGATAGGCGTTCCCTCGGAGGCAGGACGTTCTTTCCTAAAATTTGGGAAAATCCTTCTATCTACCTTTAACAAAACTGTTGAATTTGCCAATACAGATCAGAGAATCAAACAGTTCAAACAAAAGAAATGCAATGATAAAAACACATAGAACCATTGGTCACAGAGTCAGGGGCAGATATGACCATAAATGTTGATGCTTTGCTTCATTTACTGTAATTGCAGGACTTACACAGCGATGTGGCCAATATGTGTATTTTATTTTCTTATTGTAGTAGAGTTGTCTGACCAGTTATAATAATCTGTTACATTTCAACATCAAAATCTGCGTTTTATATTCAAGTGCAGCTTATATGTGGACAAAATGTAGTTAAAGTGTTTAGTTAAAATGTTGCTGGTGCAACTTAAATGTATTTATTAACAGGGATAAGGATTTTTGCCACCCCCCCGACCCAGAAATTGATTAATAAAGGGGTAGAAAATGAATGAATGAGTTAGAAAATGCAGAATTAATGCCATGTAATGGGAAATTTAACATGTTTATTTATGTGTACATTTCACTATTACAAGTGCAAAACTGTCCGGCAGGCATTTAACATGACTACTACAGCTACATGCATAACTTGGCTTCTTTTCTATCAGTCTGGATATCAACAAAAATTTACATAAAATATGACACTACACAGATGCTATAGCAATAACGATGAAGAATCATCTTCTCTTTGCTTTTTTTTGGGACGTTTTTTGTTTGCAGCTGCTCATTATCAGTGAGATTGTTCACAAAGCACAAGTGAAAGCTGGCAGGGAACGTAAACCAAAACCCATTAAGACACGGCGGCCAGATGAATTTAAGAGCCATGCTATCTTTTCAATTAGACGCATTTAGGAAACTCACATATTGTGTTCTTTTCTATGAATACTTGTACATGGCTGTGAGTACATTTTTCTTTGTTTTACTTTGGTTTTGTAACAAGAGACGGAAGAAAGAAACATGGTGTGTTTTGGTGTTCCAAAGTTTGGGTGCTGAGGAAAAGTTAAGTTTGAAAACATAGCATGGTTCTGCTCAGCGGGGCGCATGGAGACAACCAAAACAAGTCAGACTGGTTTGAAAGCGTTGCTGAATACAATGAATGACAATGATTTGCAAATGTTCTTTGTTTTAATCACATCATTTGTCTAATTAAAAATGTAACATGTTCCTTTTTCTCTCACTCATCCACCAGGGGCTGATCCCATGACTAGATTCTATGAAACATTATAGACCCTTTCAACATAAAGAGCCCCCATTAAGTCAGAACAACTTAAGAACTAGCACAACATGAGTTAATTTCAACCTAATTGTGCAGCACTTGTCATAATAAAGCCATTTGCTTTATTGCTCATCGATCTATTGCCTGCTGCGCCCTGAAATTGGGCCTTTGAAAGCCTTAAATACAGGGGAATACAACCTGCAGAGGCCTGAAGGCATTAGTTTCATAGAGGCTCTTCCACTTAGTAAGACAAACACCCTGCGCTACAGAGCCGGATCCCTCACCTCCACCAAAGAAGCACGGCTGGCTGCACTGCGCTTTCATCCCCACTTAAGCTCCGACCGCATGATTCAAGAGCAGTGACACAAATCTGATTTTGACTAAACTAATTTGGCGGCGCATCCTCGGTAGTGGTTCTAAAAGGTATAATTGGATACCGCGATAATAAGGCAGAGAGATAAGGCTGGTATTCTCAAAGTTGCAACGAAGTAATGCAATTTTGACTGGCTTTTACACGGCATTGCTCAATCATTCATAGACCAAAGAGAGTACTGCAGTTATCGTTGGAAATTAAATATCCTGGTGCTATCGGCTGGAGCAGACCATATGAGGAAGAGATAATATGAGCGAATGCACAAGAGAAACATAGCGGGGTTTTAAATATTGGAAGTGTTACAACATAAACGGATCGCGGCTGTCTTGTTGCTTCGCTTATCTGTCAGTGCAGTTGTAGCCGTAGCAAAACTGGGATCATTAAAGACAGATTATTCATTCATGCGCTGAGGTGAGGAGCAGGGGGAAAGGTTGGAGAACAAAGAAAAGGCCATGCAATAGGATGTAATTCAGACAGCGCGCTTCACTTCTGTGGGAGTCCATTCGCTGTTTAAATAATCATAAGTGAAATGGAAACATCCGAATCGACATTGAGCTTGGAAAAGATGGGGCAGTGCAAACCAAATGCAGAGTTTATTGTCTATTACTACTCTTGTCATTTACTTGTTTATGTAACTCAAAGGAAACATCACTGGGAATATATGTGAACGTCAATAGATTTCAGACAGACAATAAAAAATAAATGGAAAAGGAAAATACCAATTGCTATGGGACTTGTACTAAAGTAGTGTGCCACGGTGCACTGCGAAATGTTATTATCTAGTCCAGTGGTTCTCAAAGTGGGGGGCGGGACACTAAACTGCGAGACATGACATTAAAGAAAATATCCCAGTAAATATCTAAGATACATTTGACTTTTTGTCACCAAAAATACAACAACACATTACATAGCTCAAATTCACAAAAGCAAAGTGGATTTAACATGAATGTTTAATAATTATTACTTAATTTTATTCAACAAAGGGGTCATGCATTGAAGAAACCTGTTAGCTTGAAATTGGCAATGGACAATTAGGCACTTTCTTCCTTCCTTCCTTGGCAAAGAGTTCTTGCTTGTAAACAAAAGTGAATAGAGATCACCTACTTTATCAATTACTGAGAATAACAACAAAATCCTGACCTACATTTTAAATAATTTACACATAAATCCTTTGAAGTGTGCCCCTTGTCATCGGTTTTAAAACAGCAACACAAATTCACCTAATCTATATATGGGGTGTGGGGGTGCTGAACAATTTTTGCTGACTTTTAGCTGATGGCTGATTCCGATTAGCCCTGGCTTTTAGCAGGCGGCTGTATAAAGATAGTGTAGCGGTTGTATCATATTCCCAAAATAGGCCTGGTCATAATGGATCCACTCTGATAACATTACAGTGAAGGGGAAGTGGATCTGCATTGAAATCCAGTACTCACATCTCAGCACTTTCTGCACCCGCCGCAGCTTCATGGCCGTCCTGTACGCTGAGAACTTGATGTTGTTCAGATCCGCTAATGGAAGAAGAGAGTAAATGAAATTAGAGCAAATGAACTGATGAGGCAAAACAAAGCGATCACTCACATCCGCTTACTGATGCCATCGAGGAATATGCTTTTACAGTGTGCTCTTCATCACCCGTCCAAGACTAATACTGCTCTATCTGCAGATCTGCATCAGCCGATAAGGTGATAGAGGGATATTTTTTTTTTTCCAGTTGAACATTTAAACTGATCACACCAATATGTTACAGTTCACTAATCATCCAACATATCTCAACCCACCTTCCTTCCTTATGATTTTCAACCTCCATTCTCTCTATTCAGTTGGGAAGTCAACACACTGAGTCACCAGCCTTGCTAGATTTTCATCCATCCATCCATTTTCTTGTGGGTCGGGGGGGTGGCAGTCAGAGCTGCGCCCAATCCCCCTGTGGAGCAGTCCACAGGCGGCTGCTCAGTCAGTGACGACACAGCCTAGATCTTTCAGTGGGGGCTTCAGGCAAAGTGGGAATAAGTGTCTTGCCCAAGGACACAACAACAGCAGACATCAGTGAGAGTTGGTGGAGAAGGTCTCGTGGTAGGCTCAAACCCACGACATTCAGGCTCAAAGGCCAAAGCTCTACCAACTGAGCCACTGTTACTAGATTTGTGTCAGCATAATCATCTTCTTCTAGATGCGCAAATAAAAACTTTCATTCAATATATGAAACTTGGAAGATTAAAATATGGCTCAAAAGTTCACTTACAATGTGAAACTAGTATATGACAGAAAATGTTACTTTTCTATCTTTAAGGTGAGGAGTAGGTTATATAACAACAGTGAAGTCAAAAATGGTCAGTGGCACTTGTTGTCTTGAAATAAATGTGAAAAATGCCCTGAAGTAAACCTTGTGTGAAAAAGGTACATGTTATTTTTTGTCAAAGTTTTTGTCATTACAAATTCTTAATATTTGATTTTAGACAATAAAAAATCTATAAAATATGTGCAGCTATATTTCCCAACATGGAAGATAGTTTTCATATTTAACTTTGTACATGTATTAACTTGAGTAACTATGACAACGGAGAGGAAATATCAGATATCTGTTCATCACATAATCCAGGAAGCATAGTTCAATATCCTCTGCTACATGTTGCCATCTACATGTTGCCATATATGGTGTGTTCGCTGCTCCTTCAGACCCCTGCTAGTTTGATGTCAGATCAAATTATGGCTACAACACATCATGTCATTTAATCACAATTAATTAAAGGCTAAAGAAAAAGCAATCAGAGTGTTGGCAAATTGGGCCCCATAGGTTAATGACACCGCTGCTGTAGTCCCAGAGGTGCTCCAAATCCTGGGACATAATGAGGCATGTGACAGGAGTTTCAAAGCAACTAGGGCCCAGTTGGGTGTCGATGAGTATGACTATAGGAGGACTTTTTAATTGTCTCCACACTTACCCAGTGCCTGGTACAGTTCTGTCATCTTTGGATGGTCCCAGCATGTTGTCTGCGCTTGGTGGCTGGTGAAAAACAACAAAAAGAAAACGTAAGATGAGATACAAGAAGCAAACGTCTCCAAGATCAAGATGACAAGGGGATTGAATGACCAGGTGGGACGGGTGAGACAGGTGAGAAGCGAGAGGGAATTCACCGCGCTGGCAATATTTCGAGGAGAGCCTTTTAATTGGCTGTTTTGTCAAAATGAACAAAGGTTTTTGAAGTCTGTGCAACAGTGGTCTATGGGGTATCCCAACTGTCAACAATTTCAAAGCCAGAACTGAACATGAAAGACTTGTGCTGCAAAAGGCAGGCTTCCCTTGTTGTTTACTCATTTACCCTGCTAAATGTTTTGGATAACTGCAGCAAAAATTTGAGTAAATACAGATTTGAAAAGTAAAAGCCATAATGAATGGCTTTCAAACAGTCAATTTACATCCCATACTGCGAGTGCCAAGTAATCTATAGAACAGGAAAACACTCAAACATGATGAATAAGATTCATTTACAGGTGATTAAAGGAGATGGATGATCCTGATCTAAAGAGCAGAGCTGTGTAATAATTACATACAAGTGCTCGCACATCAGGAAACAAGAGGCATTGCCAATATCCTGAACGCAAACACAATGTGTGAACACATCCTATTCCATCTCCAACAGCTGGTAGTACTTTATACTTTAATTCAGTCAGTAATTGAGAATTAACTTATGTATGTTTATGTATTGGAACTATTCATATTAATGTATAACAAAGCACAGACCTCCACCAAGAGGCTTGGTCCCCTCCTAAAAAAAGAATCCTGGAACCAGACGGTGGATCCCATCCAAAAAACGTTTTCCTTGAACCAGTTCCGAGCTTTCTGTACATTTTTCAAAAAACTTTCGTAACTTCTTATTTTGCTCACTGAATTACTAAATTTCAAAAAGATGGACACATCAACCATGGTGAGAACAGAGAAAAAGATACAGAAAATAGGAAATGGGGCGACAGTAGCTCGGTTGGTAGAGCATTGGCATTTGAGCCAGATGGGCATGGGGTCGAGCCCACCTCAAGACTTACACCATCGACTCCCTCTGTCTGCTGTCGTTGTGTCCTTGGCAAGACACTTCCCCCCCATTGCCTAGAATGAGTCTGGTCTGTGTGTGAATGGTTGGTGGTGGTGAGAGGCCGATGGCACATACTGGTTGCCTCGCTTCTGTCAGTGTGCCCCAGGGCAGCTGTGGCTACAGTGTATGGAGTGAATGAATGTGTAAAGCGTCTTTGAGTGTCCAAAAAAAGCGCTATATAAAACCGATGCATTATTATTATAATACAATCTAACACTACTTTTACTGTTAAGAGTCCCTCTGGTTTTCTCTTTTCTCACATGTTTCCAGTATTTTTTCACTGATCCTGAAGAGCTCTTGATGAAAACTGACCCTCTCCTCTTTCTTAAACTTTTGAAACCAACCATGGTGATTATATAACGCCCTGAAGGAGGTAACTGCAGTAGAAATACACTTGTAGAGCACAGACTTACTGTATTTTACAGTAGCTAATGGGGATCTAAATAAAAACAAATAAATAAACAAACCTCCTCCCTTTCAGGTAACGATTTATCAATAAAGAAAAATAAACATATTCAAGCTTCTAGAATGTCTTATTTAGGGGAAACTGAGATGGAAGTGGGGTTACAGGGGCTATTGTACATGTTTATTTGTGTTCTAGATTTATCCAGAGGACCCCTTCGCAGACACATGGAGAATATAGAAAACCCACTCAAAGATACTGACCAGGATTTTAACCTGGCTTTGGCGAGTACTAACCACTCTGCCATCATATGTACAAAATATGGTCTGGATATCCTTATCCTCATGCATGCATCAAAACATATTTTACCTCCACCGCTAGATGTTGTTTTGGAAATAAGTAGTAATACTTACTTAATATAGTAGGGCACTTTGTTGGGGGAGATCGCACGCTCCCATGGTATCTGCACTGAACCTAGAAAAAAAACACGCTGAATCAGAGGAAGCATGTTGGGTTTGAAAAGCCTTTGTGCAGCTGGTGTCCAGACAGCGCAGCCATTCACCGCCTCTAACAGCGCTACACCGGCTACAGAAAAGCCCTGGGAACAGCTCTATTGTGAGGACCCTCTGTGGAGGCTTCGGCTGTTTGGACTGATACCGAAAAGAAAGTAAGTGAAGGACAAAGAGAACCCACTGCACATCATGAGTATTGTTAGGTCTAAATCTTTATACTTTTTTAAAGGCTTGGACTGTATATAGATGGACAATGCAAACCATTTAGCCCAAGCTGGAAGTTTTTCTCCAACTCGCTCATGATCCTATTAAGTAACATTGAAAAGCAAACCCCTCTAGCTCAGTAACCGTTTGTGTCACACCCACAAAAATCTGTGGTTTAGCTCTCTGTGTGTGTAATATGTTGATGTTGTCTTGCTTGTGGCCAGGATCAGAACTAAAATGGGGAGGCAGCGTTTCACATTCATGCATCTAAAATTTTGAATAGTTTTCCTGAAAATGTGAGACAGGCCTATTCTCTGACAATGTTTAAATCCAGGATAAAATAGTTAGTAGTTATCAGTTTAAGCTGTGCATAAAACTGAGGGATTTGATCTTCACTCTTTTTAAATGTACTGTGGTTATTTATGGTTTCAATGCCTTGTGTGAATGTTTCAATCTTATTCTGTTCAGCACTTAGAGTTGCCTTGTGTATAAATTGTGCTATACAAATAAACTTGCCTTGCCTTGCCTAAATTGAGACAAGAGACATAAGGATTGACCTTCATTCGTGGAAGAATGCATATAGTCACCCTGTCGGAACAAACGCCCATGTTAGGAATTGGGCTGCAGCTAGTTTGTGTTTAAATCGGCTTCTCCCACATTCAGTAAACACTGTGAGTGACATCAGCACTTGTTCAGTCCCCTCTAAATAAACATTCTATCTTGAAATATTTTGTTGAAAGTTTGTTGAACAATACAAAACCTGATATTCGAAAGATGTTTTTGGTATAGTTAGTTTTGAAGCATCAGATGTTGTGTCGAGAATAGTCCTTGGATTATTTGAAAAGACTTCATGGTCACTACTCGCTTGTGCCTGTGGTGAGTCAAAATGGTTCAAACTTCCCTGGGTACACACACCTAAAGTAAATCATTTTGTTTATAAGGTTGCCACGGAGAGTGGATAGGCCAAACAATTGTTCAAAATGAATGTCGAATCAAATCAATGTGTTTTCATACATCATCTAAAGCAGGTGTCTCCAACCTTTTTCACCCAGAGAGCTACTTTCCCAGGATAATAAAGACAGAGAGCTACTCCTTTGACACTTTTGTATATATATTTTTTTATATATATAGGTGTGAACAAGGCTGATAACGGGTTAAGGTAAATTATTATCTATCATTGCATATTATCAACTGCATTTATATTAATAAAAAATGATAATGAATAATACATTCTGAAGTATTATGTATATTATTTGATTTGTGCATTTTTAAATCCTTTGGCGAACTAGCTGGAAGGGGGAAGAAAGCTACTGGTGGCGAGCAAGCTACAGGTTGGAGACCCCTGATCTGAAGCCAGGCATGTTGATTGAGGGTTAATAGATTAGATTTGTTACATTATGAAACAGAAAGTACAGAAATAATAACTACACAGGTTACATTATGTTTAGTATGTTAGCAGCTTGCAAATTTGAAAAACAAATGGTATTTCTATACTTGCCAAGAGTGTACTTTTGATACTCGTACGCCTAGGAAGTGCTGTTAACATGTCATTTTAACCAGACGTTCACTGGGACAAGTGGTCTCACTATCTATTCATGTAAAGAGAGGAAACAATCACACAGCAACAAAACCTCGAATTTGACCCAGTTGCCTGAAATAAGTTGGTCAGAAGAGAGAAGGCGTGTGATAGTCAAAGTTGACAATGTGTGTTTATGTATAGAGCTAGAGCTGCACAAAACAAGCACAGTGACTAAAAAACAAAACAAAGCCAAAGCCAAAGCCAGACGCTCCTCCTGAGAGCCCTAGTCTGCTCTACACATTGACGGTCTAAGCCCCACTGTGGCCACTCCAAGTCAGAGCTGCAACAGTGAAAGGCAATGGCTCTGCGGAGGACACAAACACTCCTTAATCAGTAGAAAATAGCCAGGCTAAATCACATTTGTGCGCTCCATGTTCCTTTCTCTGTGTAGTCTTTGAAGAACGGCAGGTAGAGGAAGAAAACAAGGCACAAAGCGAGACACTCAAAGCAAAGAGTGTCCACTGTGGAAGACGGGGGGGAAGGGATTCAAAGGTAGACACTGTTTTATGTTTATTTAGGATGTATCACTTTCCATTCAACTTCACATTTATGGATAGAGGTCAAAAACATGTCCCTATTCTCCTTTCAAAACCCCCAATATACTACTGGTGCGGTAAATCACTGTAGGGCTTTCTCAATGCATTGAATAATCGAGACTAGTCGACAAATAACATTGATTGTTATTGTATTTTAACAACTGAAAAGATGCAGTATGACTTTTATAAGAAAAGCAGCAGAATCATATCAAAATTTCAAAGCGAAAGAAAAAATATGTTTGACATTATGTTTTTTTTGAAGACCAAGACCAATATATTTTTGTGTTGGGTAGAAAACTATTTGAGTTGTATCATTGTTGTTTCAACCAGTAAGTTGGACAAAACTAATAATTTCACTGTTAAAACAAGAAAAACAATGTTTCTAATTTGTTTCTATTCATTTTTATATAAAAGCCAATAATTCGTCAATCCTTCAAAATATTTCTTTTGGTCAAAATTACAATATTCAAAAACGTTCTTCATTAAGAAGTATTCACTGACCAAATATTAACTTGATTCAGATTCAGATTCAGATTCATTTATTTCGCCATTTGCAGTAACACTACATTGAATGTGCACAAATGCACAGATGAATAGTATTACATACTAAAACAATCTGACTTTCACAAGTGTGAATTCTACATGTTTGGTTTCATATGTAGCAAGACATCTCAGCACCCGGTCTGTTGTTGATGTTAATGCTCCATCTCTTTCCAAACGTGACAAAGTCAAGACGGAAACCCATTGAGTCACTCTCAAGTCGACTTCTACGGGCCTTATTATGCCGCCACAGAAGCAGCGCTTTGGCACAGCATGGAACAGACTGGAGCAACACAAGGGCAGACTTCAAACCGGCAGAGGAAGAAGACGCTCTTACTGGAGAGGAAGTGCTGCGATCCCGGACCAAAGTCTCGGTGTGCGTCCTGGAGCTGCTTCAGACGCTCCTCGATGGATCCCTAAAAAGACACATGCCGCGTTAGTTCAAAAGGAGCCATTCGCCCCGATAGGATCCAGCAGACCTGCGACCACCTGCTTCCTCTATATTACTTAAGCCTGGAATATAAATGATTCCTTTCCTTTCCACAGCCCGACTGCAGGACTCTGAAAGCCTTTTGAAGAGCGGCAATGAGGAAATAAGAGACAAAGATTAAACAAAGTCAAGCGCCCGGTTTAAATGAGAACGTTGAGAAGTCGAATTGCATCATAAAACGTACAGCGAATTAACTGAATGGCCCTTACAAGGAGTGGCATCATGCTCCTAAAAGTGATATCACTTTGCTTAAAGCTGGAGTACCTCACTTTTGTTTCATAAATGTATTTGTTTGTCCAAACAGAAAGGGTCTTGTCAAATCAAATCACAACTGTTGTTGCAAGACATATATTGCCTCGTATGAGTCTGGTGTGTGCATGACTGATCGGTTGAGGTCGGAGGGACCTTCAGGGCAGCTGTGGCTACATATCAGTTTATCACAACCATGTTTGGCATGAATGAATAATGCTATGAGTGTCTTTGAGAACCCACAAAAGCATGGTATATAACTAGTGCATTATTGTTTTTATCATTGTATCTTTTACCTACTCAGAGCTGATTGTTTGAGTGAGGGCAGTCCTCTCTTTTTCACAGAAAAAGCTGAACCAAAGATGTGACAGAGGCTAAAATACAGGCATGTGATCCAAACTGTTTGAGAGCTAGGAAATAAGATGGGTTTTCAAACTTAAAATCAAGATATTATGCTCAATAAATTCTAAATACAATGCTCTCCAAGGTTGTGTTGATTTACATTTATTTAATATTTGTATTGCATTGTATTGTTGATTGGTGGTGGAAAATGTTTTGGCTTGGAAGTGACTGGTACATGGAAAAAGGGAGCTTGTATTCATGTTAACCAGGGGTCACCAACGCGGTGCCCGCGGGCACCAGGTCGCCCGTAAGGACCAGATGAGTCGCCCGCTGGCCTGTTCTAAAAATAGCTCAAATAGTAGCACTCAAGCCTAGTGCGCTGCGCGGAGCTTACGGAGGTGACGTGACGTCACTTGCGCAACGCGTGGATCACATCAAGGCCCTTACGTAGCCTGCCACGCACCCTCGAATACTACGCGGCCAACGCCGCAGACAAGCTCCGCTGTGATTGGTCCGTGTGTGAGAGGAGCTCCGCTGTGATTGGTTCGTGTGTGTGTTTTGGACGGAAGCATGGAGCGGCTGCAGGGGGCACGGACGAGGCACTTCGGAGCAGACCGCTTTGTGCTTCGAAGGAACCGAAGGAAAAGTAGTTTGGTCTCATGGCAGAGCCTGATATAACTTATAAACTGTGCAGTTGTTTCTTTTGCACTGTTCCTGTCTTGTTTGCGTTGTAGCTTATCGCGTCTGTTGCATTCCTACTGCACTTATAGTTCGTGTTTTTCTCAGATATTTACCACTTATTGATTATCTGTTTGTGCTGAATACACTTTAATAATAACTATGTTTCCAACAAGAACTGTGTCTTTATTCACAACATCAGAGTTAAATGAGTTGAAACGATGAGTTTAGAACTGTCACATAAACCTACAGTAGAAACACATGTAATGATCTCAAACAGCTTCACTGTTGTTTTTGTTCTGAAGAGGAGAAAGTAGCAGCGTAAATGGGACTGCTTTGGTTTCTAAACTCCTGTGAGATCACCATCACGTGTGACGAGAGTTGACTTTTGTATTTTACATGAGTTATTATTTGTATAAACATGGTGCAAAGTTATTCATGATTTGTTAAAAAATGTTAGTGGCTAGTTGGTTAAAATGGGATATTGTGATTTCACAAGAAGTGATCGTTTGAAAATGTTCAATTTGAAAAATGTTGCATATTGATATTTATCTGTTTCTATATATATTTATTGTGAGAAATCGTTAAGATGATCAGTGTTTCCACAAAGATAAATATCATTAATTATTAATATGAACAGAGTTAAAAGTAAATTGAGCAAATTGGCTTTTTCTGGCAATTTATGTAATTGTGTAACAAACTGGTAGCCCTACCGGAGAAGTAGCTCTTGGTTTCAAAAAGGTTGGTGACCCCTGATGTTAACTATATTGTTATAAGATTAGATGGAATAGATCCTGCAATGAATGTCTCACGTTATCATCACTACATTTCACACCCCTCATTGGCCAATTCCCAAAAATAAAAGTGGGATTTAATTGATTTGTATTAATATAGTGCGTTGTAAATGTGCCAGCGAGGGCTGTTACGCAATCTATTTGTTGTACAAGCATCCAAGGCTGCCATAAGGAAGACAAATGACTGAATTATCCTCAGCTGACTAATATTACCAAATCAAATTTAGCCCCTCCCCCCCCCCCCCCCCCCCCCCTACTCTATCTATCTTTCGCTCGTTCGCCCCCCCCCCACGCCCCACTCCTTGCTGTTGCGGGGCTGTCTTGGGTCCGCCTCACCATTCCCCCCAATCCCCCTTATATATATCCCCCTTCCCTTTTCCCCCCCCCCCCCCCCCCCCCCCCCCCCCCCCCCCCCCCCCCCCCCCCCCCCCCCCCCCCCCCCCCCCCCGTCCTTTGCCCGCCCCCCCCCCCCCCCCCCCCCCCCCCCCGGGGTCCCCCCCCCCCCCCCCCCGCCCCCCCCCCCCCCCTCCCCCCCGGCTACCCAGCGTTGGCTTTTCGTTTAAGTCCGCCCCGTTCCCTGTGGCCCCCCCGTTGCCCCCCCCCCCCCCCCCCCCCCGGCTAGGGTACCTCCGGTCGTGGCCTGCCTGTTTGTTATATTTCCCGCTTTGTCCCTTTTCCCCCCCCCCACGGGGCCCCCCTCGGGCCATTGCCCTCCCCGGGCCCCCTGGGGCCCCCCCCCCCCCCCCCCCCCCCCCCCCTCTGTGTTTACCCCCCCCCCCCCCTGTGTTTTCGTGGCTCCCCCCCCCCCCCCCCCCCTTTCCCCCCCCCCTCCGCCCCCCCCCGGCTTCTTGTGTCCCCTTTGTCCTGTCGAAAAAATTTCCCCCCCCCCCCCCCCCCCCCTATATTCGGGCCCGTCCCCTAGCGCTCGCTGTGTCCAAACCCAAAAACCAAAACAAAAAAAAAACAAAACAAAATAGCTCCCTTGTTGTCCTGTTTCCCCGGCGGGCTTCCTTGTGCGGCCCCTGCCGCCTGCTCCGGCATGTTGCTTTGGTTTCCTGTCGGGGCTCCCCTTCGGGGTGCCCCGCCCCATTCGTTGTCCCCCTGTTCCCCCCCCTTTCCCGGCCCGCCCCGGTCTGCGCCTTTGTTGCTGACCCCCCCCCCCCCCCCCCCCCCTCCCCGGTGTTCGCTTTTGGATGTCTCTCCCCCCCCCCCCCCCCCCCCCCCCCCCCCCCCCCCCCCCCCCCCGTTCCGCTTCTGCTCTTTTTCTCAGACCCCCTGCCCCCCCCCCCCCCCCCCGTCCCACTTCACTTCCATCCCGGGCCGGTTGGCCCCCCTCTGTTTTCGTCTGCTTTCCCCCTTGCCCTCTCCGCCGTCGTTTGCCCCCCCCCCTTCTTTCTGCAGTGCTCGCCTCGCGCCCCCCCCCCCCCCCCCCCCCCCCCCCCCCCCCTCTGCGTGATCCTGTTTTCGCGTCTTTTGCGCCTCCCTCTTCGCGCCCCCCCCCCCCCCCCCCCCCCGTTTTCTCGGCTGAGCTCCCTGGGTCGGGTGGTCCCTCTACCGCCGGCACTCCGCTTTGCCGTTATATCTTGTTGGGCTTTCGCTCGTCCAGCCCGGTCCCCCTCGCTTCTTTTTGTGTGCTTTCCGTCCTTATATATATGTTACCCCCCCCTGTTCTTATGCCCCCCCCCCCCCCCCCCCCCCCCCCCCCCCCCCCCCCCCCCCCCCCCCCCCCCCCCCCCCCCCCCCCCCCCCCCCCCCCCCCCCCCCCCCCCCTTCCTGGCGTCCTGTGTATTGCATACTGCCCCCCCCCGTGCCCCCCCCCCCCCCCCCCCTGTTCGTCTGCCCCGGTGCTTCCCCCCCCCCCCCCCCCCCCCCCCCCCCCCAGCTCTCCCCTGCCCACCCCCCCCCCCCCCCCCCCCCCCCCCCCCCCCCGGTCCCCGGGGGGCGGGCGCCCCCCCCCCCCCCCCCCCCTACTCCGCCCCCCCCTTATAGGCTTCGCTCGGTCCCTCCGTCGGCCCGGGCCATTCAGAGTCCGGGCCGATATGGGCGTGGCCTGTTCCATGTTTCCCCCCCCCCCCCCCCCCCCCCTTTTCGTTGGTGCCCCCCCCCCCCCCCCCCCCCCCCCCCCCCCCCCCCCCCCCCCCCCCCCCCCCCCCCCCCCCCCCCTCGGGCCCCCCCCGGCCGACTCGGGCCCCTTGCTGCCCTCCCCCCCCCCCCCCCGGCGTCTCCCCCCGCGGGTCCGGGTGCCCGTTCTTATCCGCCCCCTAGTTATCCCAGTGTCTTCTCCCCCCCGCCCCCCCGCTCCGCCGTGTCTTCGTCCCCCCCCCCCCCCCCCCCCCCCCTCGTTCCCCCCCCCCCCCCCCCCCCCCCCCCCCCCCCCCTCCCACCCCCTTGGGCTTGGTTGGGTCGTTCGCGTTGGGCCTGCCCCCCCGTTGCGTGGTTGGCTTGGGTTGGCCGGCTGGGTGGGGTCCGTTCCCACACCCCCCCCCCCCCCCCCCCCCCCCCCCCCCCCCCCCCCCCCCCCCCCCCCCCCCCCCCCCCCCCCCCCCCCCCCCCCCCCCATCCGCCGGCGCCCCCCCCCCCCCCCCCCCCCGGTTCTTTCCTTCTTTCTGGGGCGTGGGTCCGCTGTCTCTTCCCTTGGCCGGTCCTTTGCCTGCGTGCCGCGCTTCCCCCCGCCGCCCCCCCCCCCGGGTCTGGCCCCCCCCCCCCCCCCCCCCCCCCCCCCCCGTTTTTGCCGTCAGCTCCTATTCCGCCCCCCCCCCCCCCCCCCTTCTCCGGTCTTGTTGGTGGCGTTTCTGCTCGGCCCGCCCCCCCCCTTCGCCTTGCGGATGTTCCCCCGGACCCTCCCTCGGCCGGTTGCGTGCTTTTGGTCGAAGCCATCGCCCCTGTTTTTTTGGGTGGGGTCGCTGCCTGCTTTTGTTCTCCTCCGGTCTCCGTCCCCTTTTGTTTCACGCCCCTGTCCCCTGGCTGAGTGCTCCTTGTCCTTTGGTTGTGTGTGCCGCCCCCCCCCCCCCCCCCGCGCTGGCTTTGGCCTTTGCCCCGCCCCCCTTGTCCCCCCCCCCTCCCCCCCCCGTCCCCTCGCTTGTGCTCCCGCGCGTGTTTCCTTCGGCGTCGCTGTTTTCGGTTGCGTTTTTCCCTGCCCCCCCCCCCCCCCCCCCCCCCCCCCCCCCCCCCCCCCCCCCGGGTTTTGGGGCCGCTCGGCGCTGGCTGCCTTCGCCACCCCCCCCCCCCCCCCCCCCCCCCACCGGCGCCCCCTTGTCGCTTTTTTTCCCCCCCCCCCCCCCCCCCCCCCCCCCCCCCCCCCCGCCCCCCCCCCCCCCCCCCCCCCCCCCCCCCCCCCCCCCCCCCCCCCCCCGTGTGGGTTGTGTTTTTTCACCCCATCGCCCCCCCCCCCCCCCCCCCCCCCCCCCCCCCCCCCCCCCCCACTCCGTTTCTGCGGTCTGATATAATATATATATACATATATATGATGCGGGGTTTTCTGTTTTCCCGCCCCCCCCCCCCCCCCCCCCCCCCCCCCCCCCCCCCCCCCCCCCCGACGGGCGGGGACGGTCCGCCCCCCCGTCGCGCCCCCGCCTGGTTCTCCCCCCCCCCCCCCCCCCCCCCCCCCCCCCCGGCCCCTTTCCGGTAGTTTCTCCTTTTGGTTTCTGCGGGTTGTGTTTTTTGCCGGCCCCCCCCCACCCCCCCCCCCCCCCCCCCCCCCCCCCCCCCCCCCCCCCCCCCCCCACCCCCCCCCCCGATAAGTCTGTTTGCCCCCCCCCCCCCCCCCCCCCCCCCCCCCCCGCCTCTTCTCACTTTCCCGTGCTCCTTTGTCTGATTCCCCCTAATCGTCCCTCCGCTGGCGGTGGGCCGTCTGGGCTCGGTATGTGTGTGGGTCTCGGGTTATATATTTGTGTTCGGCCCACACGACCCCAACGTGGCGGACCGTGTGGGTGTTTGTGTGATGCGGTCCCCCCCCCCCCTCTCGCTCCACACCCCCCCCCCCCCCCCCCCCCACCCCCCTTCTCTTGCTCGCTTTTCCTTTGGGCTTTTGATCCCCCCCCTCTCGCCGCGCCTCCGTCTCGAATACAACCTATTCTCTTATATATATGTGTGTCTATTTACCCCCCTGTTGTGTCCCCCCCCATCCCCCTTTTTAGTTTGCCGGCTCTTTGTCCGTGTCCCCCCCCCCCCCCCCCCCCCTTTTATCCCCCCCCCCCCCCCCCCCCCCCCCCCCCCCCCCCCCCCCCCCCCCCCCCCCCCCCCCCCCCCCCCCCACACACACACACTATATCCCATCCTTCCCCCCTGGTCTTTTCCCGGCCCCCCCCCCCCTTTTTTTTGGGTCTCCTTCGGTTTCGGCTACGAGGCCTTGGGGCGCTCTAGGGGTTGCCCCTCGCCCCCCCCCCCCCCCCCCTGGCTCTCGGCGCTCCCCCCCCCCCTCCCGTTTGCCCCCCCCCCCCCCCTGCCCCCCCCCCCCCCCCCCCCCCCCCCCCTCCGGTTTGGGGGTGGGCGTGCCCCCCCCCCGCCCCCCCCCCCCCCTCCCCCCCGCTTTTGTCTGCCCCGGGTCCGTTTCTTGTTTGCACCGTCCGTTCCGTGTCCGCCGCGTTCTCAGATCTTTCTCCTGTTTTGCCGCTGTCCCTCGGTCTGGCCCCCTCGGTGTTTGTGTGTCCCCCCCCCCCCCCCCCCCCCCCGCTGCTGCCCGGGGGGGTTGGGCGGGCCCCGTCTGTCGTTTATAGGTTTGCCGCCTGGCGGGTGGGGCCCTGTTTCGGTCTAGGCTCGGAGGCCTGTTGCTCCCCCTTTTCGCTGCTGGTCCCCGCTTCTTTCCTCGCTCCCCCCCCCCCCCCCCCCCCCCCCCCCCCCCCCCCCCCTTTGCTGTTCCGCTTGCGGTCGCCGGCCCCCTTCCCCCCTTTCTTCCTGGGGCCCCCCCCCCCCCCCGTCCGGCTGGGGTTCGTTGTCTGGGCCCCCCCCCCCCCCCCCGGTCCCCCCTCGCGTCTCCCCGCTTCCACTTGGCCGTCCTTGCGTCCCGTGTGTGCTTTTGTAATTTTACCCCCACCTAAAAAAACAACCCACACCACCCCCCCATCCCCCCCCCCCCCCCCCCCCCCCCAGAAGACCAATCCCCCCCCCCCCCCCCCCCCCCCCCCCCCCCCCCCCCCCCCCCCCCCCCCCCCCCCCCCCCCCCCCCTCAAGTCTCCGTATAAATGCACCTGCTCTTTGATAGTCTCAGGGTTCTGTTTAAAGCGCAGAGAGAACCATGAAGACAAAGGAACACACCAGGCAGGTCCGAGATACTGTTGTGGAGAAGTTTAAAGCCGGATTTGGATACAAAAAGATTTCCCAAGCTTTAAACATCTCAAGGAGCACTGTGCAAGCAATTATATTGAAATGGAAGGAGTATCAGACCACTGCAAATCTACCAAGACCCGGCCGTCCCTCCAAACTTTCATCTCAAACAAGGAGAAGACTGATCAGAGATGCAGCCAAGAGGCCCAAGATCACTCTGGCTGAACTGCAGATAACTACAGCTGAGGTGGGAGAGTCTGTCCATAGGACAACAATCAGTCGTGCACTGCACAAATCTGGCCTTTATGGAAGAGTGGCAAGAAGAAAGCCATTTCTCAAAGATATCCATAAAAAGTCTCGTTTAAAGTTTGCCACAAGCCACCTGGGAGACACACCAAACATGTGGAAGAAGGTGCTCTGGTCAGATGAAACCAAAATCGAACTGCTGTAATTGCAGCAAAAGGTGGCGCTACAAAGTATTACCGCAAGGGGGCCGAATAATATTGCACGCCCCACTTTTAAGTGTTTTATTTGTTAAAAAAGTTTAAATTATCCAATAAATTTTGTTCCACTTCACGATTGTGTCCCACTTGTTGTTGATTCTTGACAAAACATTTAATTTTTATATCTTTATGTTTGAAGCCTGAAATGTGGCGAAATGTTGAAAGGTTCAAGGGGGCCGAATACTTTCGCAAGGCACTGTAGATTCAGACTTCTTTATTATTGAAGCCGGAAGCCTCCAGAATTAGGTTTGCTCTTGTTGACAGTGCTGTACTGAAGTTTGTGTCTGCGTCCTGCCAGGCTTTCATGGAGGATGTGAAGTCCCGCGGGCCCTTCATCTACTCAGTCCTGGAGTCGGCTCAGGTGTTTCTGGCCCAGCACCCATTCCAGGAGCCCGAGGAGAGCCTGAGCGATGGAAAAGGTCTGCGCTCTTCACTGTCGAACCCACCACTGCTCCAGCCAAAATATCACAGTCACCACCAGTGTGGAGCCGCCAGCCCGCACGCCCCTCGCATGCAAACTTGTCCATTAGTAGTTATAACAGCAGTGCCACGCTGGGAGCAGGAACATCCAAGTCAGGAACAATTAACTGGAGCTCTCCCCTTCCTCAGCTCCATCTTTATAGATCAATAACAAAGTGGGAAGTGTCTCTTCCACCCACAACTCTCACACACCTGCAGACAACAGCCCTGTTTCACATGACACTCTGCCTCTATTGTTTCCTCAAGATTCAATACTCCTAATTCGTTTATTCATCTCATCTCCCCGAAGATAAATTTGGTTCGGACCAGTTGATGGTTCTGCAGACAATATACTGTAAAACACAAAACTCACCTACAGGAAGTACTAAACATTCCATCCCCAGATGGCTGTACATAAATGCACAAACCTAATAAACAGACCTAATTTTCTATCTTTATATAACAGAAGAAACTATTAGAGCGTTTACAAATATATGTTTAAACTTATTCTCTACAGAAGTGTCGCCAAAGCGGCGCATTCTCAATGTGAGCCGGACTGTTTGGAAGCAGGCCAACGTGGCCAGTGACCTGTGGGAGAAGCTGACGGCGCGCTGCGTAGACCGGCACAGGTGTGACATGCTTCCCAAATGTTTCATGGAAAACCATAAGACACTCATCTGAGCTATAACTACATACACTCTGCGTAGTTCAGTCCTTATTCATTATTTGGAAATAAAATGATAATTTATGCATTATTAATATTCATAATTAATAATCACACTTGAAATGACTTAGTATATACCAGTATAGTATATCCAACTTCTAGCTGTGGGGCCCTGAGGTTAATAAAAGTAAAGGGAAACATGCACTTGTTTCCTGTGAATGATCTTCCTCTCTCCAGTTGCCCCATTATAAATGAGCGTATTCAATAATTATTCATCTATTTCAGAAGCACATGCTTTCTTGCAGACACATGGAGCTCACATTGGAAAGGTTACTACAGATCCAGGCTGCGATGGAGGAGCTGGCGATGGCCCTGGACCAGGCGGAGGGGGTCCGTGACGCCTGGGAGCCTGTGGGAGACCTGTTCATTGACTCACTGCAGGATCATATAGATGCCACCAAGGTACAACAGACTCCATTGTGTTTTTTCATAAATAAAAGGTGGCAGGCCCTATAATATTTCAACTCAATGAATTTCAAATCATTCTAAAAAACTGCGCTTGTAATGCAGTGTGAAGGTTTAAAGCAATTTTATAACCATCCAATGTGTTCAGGGCTTAATGGGAGTGTCAAGTATCAAATGTTCACTTTTTTTTTCTTCAGAAGGCATCCTGTTGCTTTTGACAGAAGTCACATCTTCGATAAATACAAATAAACCAGTTCCATTGGCTCCATATTTAGAGATCCTTTATTCGTCCCACAGTGGGGAATTTCATATACCACCATGTTTCACTGATGAGTTTTGGATCATGATTATTTCCCTTCTTCATATTCTGGTGCAAGTAGATCTTCTGTCATCTGTCCATCGGATGTTCTAGACCTGTAAAGACCATCTAGATTTAGTTTGCATCTTTCAGCTTTCTGTTATTGCATCTCACCAGTAATCTACATACTGTACAGTATAGTGACTAACCTTCTCTATGTTATCTGGTGACATCTTCTCTTGATTGTATCCACTGACAGCGTGTAGCTCCTGTAGAGAGTTCTTGTTCTGTCCAACATTTGTGAAGAGTTCTCTTTTCACCAGGGAAATCATTCTGTCATCCACCACACTTGTCCTGGTCTCCCTTTAGTGTTTCTGAGCTCACCAATGTGTTCCTTTTTCTTTATTTTTTAAAGAGTGTTCCAAACAGTAATCTGGCCACACTTAATGTTTTGTCATCTCTCTGATGAGTTTGTTTTGACTTCTCATCCAAATGATGGTTTGCTTCACGGATAGTGAATAATATTGGGATTTAACAAAAACTTAACATTATATCTTTTATCTGCTTACCGTAAAATGGGATAAGGAAGAAATAGCACCCATATTTCCAAAACTGGGAAGAACTCATATAAACGCTTGTAGTTTCTACACTCTCGTGTGAAAGCTGACTCTGCAGGTTATAGTTTAATTTCAAATATAGAGTGTTATTGTATTGAGTCTATTATACGTGTAGACTTGACTAATATTGGAACAAAGACAAACAAATCCTGCCCCTCCGCCTCTTCACAGTGGTTCTTGGAAAAGCCAATAAAATCCATTCACAGATTGTGTTTATTTCTGTACATCACTTGCACATGTTCGGCCGAGCTGACAAAGTATATTGAAGATTAGAGGGTTTTACATCCATGGTTCCCTTGCTCCAAAATATAGTTTTCAAGGTTCAACTCTGTATTATTTTTGGCTGGTTCTCCCTCAACAAAACATTCTCAACTGGTAAAATGCAGACAGGGTTAGGGTTGGCTCAAGATCTGGACAAGGTTCCTGCGGTCAACATGTCAAGGCCCCTGTTGATTCTGTTCTTTTATATTTGTGGCAAGGAGACGATAGCCCTATTCGGACGGGATTAGTATTACCTGTGGACCCCTGGTAATTTGTGATAATCACGGAGGACGTCTGAGATCTGACAGCGCATTCGCACGGGATAAGCAATGTCTGTAATTTTCACTGACATCTGACATAACAGCCGCACATGCGCGGATCTTTCCGCTTGTCGCAGCCCATAGAGACTGGGGTCTGATCACAGCAGTCACAGAGACCATGAGGGCAAACACATACATGTGGATTTTACTGCTCTACAGTTCCATGGCCTGTACTTTCTGTAATGTTTAAACAATACTTTTTGTACGGACTACCCATGAACGCCCCACACACTCTGCTAACATGCGTGCAAGCCAACAAATAACGGCTGCAACACGTCTGTACTGTAGTAGGACAGAGTGCAGAGTAAACGGACGAACACAACCCATCAGTCTGATCATTTAGTGTCAGTGAACACATTACACTGTCCTCTACACTTCTCCGTAGACCTCACAGAGACAGCAGCAGCCGGGACTCTGCAGGTGTTCACAGCCGCGGTCCGCGACACCTCTGCTCATTGATAAAAACAATGCAGAAAGTAAAGAGAAAGCGGCAATAGCGATCACAATCACTGACATGCAGATTTGCACGGGATTAGTATTATCAGAGGACGTCTGTGTTTGGACAAATACAGGAGGTAATTTGCGGGGGAATTATTACTTTACAAATTACAGACATGGTGCATATGCACGGGACTAAAATCTCAGACCTCCTCCGTGATTATCACAAATTACCAGGGGTCACCATGTAAGAGACTAATCCCATCCGAATAGGGCTTATGACTAAAATATATGACTTTGTTGTAATGAAGCCAAAATAAGTGTTATTAGGATTGAAAATATGTTTTATTTTCTAACTGCGCAAAATAAGCAAGGGCATTTGAGATTGTATTTAGAATTGAAGAATGAACTAACAACATATTCAAACATATTCTATAGGACTGTGTGTTTGTTTGTCTAGCTTCTAGATACGAGATATTCATGTCTGATTTGACGCACTTAGACGAGACACTTCAGACTGACACAATGAGAGGCAGGCTGTTAAGCAATTGGCAGGTCATTTGTGTTGTCATTACAGAGAACAGTGTCGTCGCTGTGTGTAATTGTACAACATGTATCGTTCATTAAGAGTGAGGGCATCCTGTCACAGCTGCTCTGAGGGCCACTGTCACTACAGTATGTTACAAATTCAGTATGTTGTAACTGAAGTATTCTCCCCAACACTTAATGAACAGGAACCATTGGATTGAGGGTTTTTGTCAAATATTCTCCAGTTTGAGTCTATATTTTCTTCTTTCAGGAAAACCACCTCTTGAGATGATGTGTATGACTGTATCTCTGGTTTTAAGTATGATCCCAAATTGCTCAGTTACAAAACAAAGCACATTTTTGCTCCCAAACACTTTGTATGACTGCAGTATAACAAACAAAAATATATTTTGGTCTCCTTGCCACAAATATAAAAGTCAAGACAACAGAAGAGAATCAATGGGGGCAGCTGTTTTGGTTTTCTGTATTCCACGCTCATAACCTTTTCAACTCAAAGTCCATTCCGCTATGTTTTTATTTCACTTTGGCTCGCGAAGTTAATACATGGTTGCTGCCAAATTACTTCCAAAACAGAACTGACAAGTATAATGGATTACATTTCTATTGATTCTTCAGAGAATTAATTTCTTTGGAGTTTGTCCAAAGTGAATGTTCCTTCTGTTACTTTTCTTCATTTAATAACTGCCTGGTTCTGTTCTTGCTGCCCCATGATGCAGCTGTTTAAGGAAGAGCTGACGCAGGTGAAGGAGGGTATGAAGCACGTCAATGACCTGGCACACCAGCTGGCCATCTCTGACGTCCACTTGTCCATGGACAACGCCCGTGCCCTGGAGCATCTCAACAGCAGGTGGAAAGTGCTTCAGGTAAAGTTTGCAATTCATTTTCTGTGGAATATCTAACTGTACTATACTATACTGTACTGTACTTTACTGTACTAAACTATTAAAAAGACATAAAGGAAAAGTGAAAGAATGGCTCACAACTTCACAAACAGATTTTGATAGATTTTATTTTTGATGTAGTATATATTTCCTAATTATTTGATGTCTTTTGAATTTTCAAAACTTTAATCTTCAATAAATCGAAACAACCTTTCACCTAAAGGAAAACATTGTATTCATATGATGTAACGTTTTCTAGACTCCCTGTGTAGGGTTATTTCCATAGTGTGTACATTTTTTATTATTGTGACCAAAAAAGGATCTGGTTGTCGTATCTAACCCTCTATGCACATGGGTCATTTTGGGGAACTTTCCTCGCCTGGTTTTCTTTGTGTATAATTGTTCATAAAACAGTCATCTTTTGATGCAGAGTCAAGCAGTATACTTTGTTTTTTTCAGTACAACCTGGGGTTTTAGAATATTCATATTGTAAAGCTGTCATTTGAATTATATAAAAATTATGGAATCATGAAAACAAAGAAAAAAATGAATCTCTAACTATTATACTTTTTACAAAATTCCACTATAAAAGCAAAAAACTCTGTACTCCTGATGCCCTTCCTGAAGCAGTTTGTCTATAATGCTGGGGTTGCTTCTGTAGCACAGCTGTAAAAAACGTAAAACATAAGAAACTGAGCCAAAAAAAAAAAAACATAAATTATTTATATAATACATATATTTATATACATCATATACACATAATGTAATTTTACTGTATTTATTATCGTCTTTATCAATAATGCGCACTCTTCACCCGGTTATTGCAATCTCAGCTGTAGTTTCAACCGTGGGAGAACAAGTACACGTTTCGGAAAGCCCTGAATACGTACTTCACAGAGGAAAAAAAAGTAAGTTGCTACCGTTCGCGAGTAAATTGATCATTTGTAAAACATGTGCACGTGCATCGGCGCCGATGCACGCGGGCATACAGGGTGAGTACTTTTTTCAGGGTAATAGTGAAATATAGATAAATGGTCATATTCTGAATGATATTAAATGCCATATTTTGAAACGTTAATTATTGTAGTAGAGAGCTAACTCTTTAGTGCAAACTTTAGCCTCAGAGCAGTACTTCTTGGTGATGTAATCCTTATCCTGATGTTTAACAAACTGTGAGACTCAATTAACTTAAATCCATCACGTAGGCGGTTGACCAGAAATGTCCCTCGTAACATCCCTATTTCTAATACCTAAGTAGGAAAGAACCATTAAAAAACAAATGTTTGTTATAATGTTGATAATTGGCTCACAGCTTGTAAAAATCCCAAATAAAATATTATGAAAATAATCATCAAAAACACTTGGCATACTGTATGTCACGTTATCTTTTTTGTTTGTATGTATTGGTCTCACATGTTAGGTTGAACGCCAGAAGTAAATACATTTTTTGAATTTGTATAACTCCATGTATTACTGCGTACAGTGTGCTTCCCCTATGTATGGACTTGTCTCATGACATCCAATCACAAAAGTGGAAGTTTGGGAATATTTTGGAATGCCATCCATCCATCCATTTTCTTCCACTTAATCTATTTCTGGGTCGGGGGGGTGGCAGTCAGAGCTGCACCCAGTTCACACAGCACCAGCCCCTCACTGATCCTCCTGCAGATGGTGAGTCCACTGGAGCTGAGATCTTTCAGCGGGGGCTTCAGGCAAAGTGGGGTTAAGTGTCTTGCCCAAGGACACAACAACAGCAGACATCAGTGGGAGTCGTGAAGTAGGTCTTACGGTGGGCTCGAACCCACGACCTTCAGGCCCAAAGGCCAGTGCTCTACCAACTGAGCCACTGTCGCCTTTGTTTTTGGAATGACTAAGCTTTAAAATCCCGTCTCATACAATTTCTCAGACAATCTCAGACAGTCCTAACTTCTCCTCCCACCATTTCTCGCTGCACTGTCCTGTCCGCTAAACCATAGCAGCCAAAACACAGTTCAATAAATATATTAATGAAAAATGCTACAAATTAGTTCAACCTGAACAACAAACCAATAATTCCTTCAACAATGCGTAACAGTAAAAAGTAGTTGCTGCCAAGTCCTCAAAATATGACAAAAATGTTTTTATTGAGAGCATCTGCTTGTGAGGGGTTTTTCTTCCCAAAATCACTGAAACCCAATTAGTTACAATCATCTTATTTCCAGTTCCCAATAGTTAACTTTCTTTAATCTAAGCAGAAATCTGTGAGTGATGTAGGAACCTCGTGGGCTGCTGCGTCCATCTTCCCGTCATCACATGGTCCTGGTGTGATCCTTTGTTACTCGCACAATGCTCCTTCCTCATACTTTCATTAGAGTAAACCTACATCAAAGGTAAACTACATCTAGGGTTTCTCATTTTGCCCATGTCACAGCAGGAACCAGACCACCTCTTTGTGAGAAATTATACGTTTTTTCCACAGCCACGTGAGGCCCAGTGTGCAACAGCCTCAAAAGAACCATTCATTTAGTTTTAATTTTGCTCCTATACCTTTTTCAGAAATAGTCCTGCTGTTGAAATCCCTCTGGGCCTTGAATGTTGCGTGATGACTCATTGCACGGCAGCCACAAATGAATGAAATTGGCGGTTCGTGTCCTCCCCATGGCCTTGCTCAAAAAGGAATCTGCTTTTGTGACGTCTGTCTTTGATTGCAGCCTCTGATCATGTGTGTGGTCGCGTTTTTATCATTGCAGATGTTTTGATAAACTGGCTTTTATGCGTAGTATAGTTTGCGTTTTTTTGCTGTATGGTAAGGCATTGGTATTTATTTTCCTTTGAAATCTAGGTCCAACTTTTCTATTTGTGCACAGACAATTTTTCTTGTAATTAAAATGATGAATGCAAATCCCAGAAACGTCATCTGCTCTGTTGATTTCAGGCTCCCCTCACTATTATGAGAACATATTTCTAAATTTGATTTGGTAATATTAGTCAGCTGAGGATAATTCAGTCATTTGTCTTCCTTATGGCAGCCTTGGATGCTTGTACAACAAATAGATTGCGTAACAGCCCTCGCTGGCACATTTACAACGCACTATATTAATACAAATCAATTAAATCCCACTTTTATTTTTGGGAATTGGCCAATGAGGGGTGTGAAATGTAGTGATGATAACGTGAGACATTCATTGCAGGATCTATTCCATCTAATCTTATAACAATATAGTTAACATCAGGGGTCACCAACCTTTTTGAAACCAAGAGCTACTTCTCCGGTAGGGCTACCAGTTTGTTACACAATTACATAAATTGCCAGAAAAAGCCAATTTGCTCAATTTACTTTTAACTCTGTTCATATTAATAATTAATGATATTTATCTTTGTGGAAACACTGATCATCTTAACGATTTCTCACAATAAATATATATAGAAACAGATAAATATCAATATGCAACATTTTTCAAATTGAACATTTTTCAAACGATCACTTCTTGTGAAATCACAATATCCCATTTTAACCAACTAGCCACTAACATTTTTTAACAAATCATGAATAACTTTGCACCATGTTTATACAAATAATAACTCATGTAAAATACAAAAGTCAACTCTCGTCACACGTGATGGTGATCTCACAGGAGTTTAGAAACCAAAGCAGTCCCATTTACGCTGCTACTTTCTCCTCTTCAGAACAAAAACAACAGTGAAGCTGTTTGAGATCATTGCTCCTCTGAGAGCCCTAATTCTTCTCTACACATTGGACGGATCTAGCCCAACATCACCTGTGGCCACTCCCAGTCCGAGCTGCAACAGGTGAAAGGCAATGGCTCTGCGGGAGGACACAACCACTCCATAATCAGTAGAAAATAGCCAGGCTAAATCACCAATTTTGCTCTCCCATGTACCTTCACTTTGTAATTCATTTATCTAATTAGGTATGATGAATCAACAATCACACATCTATACACTCCAAATCAAATGCGGTCCACTGAGGAGACTGTGTGGAAATTTATTCCAAATGAGTAGCCACTTTTTAATTATTAATAATAGAATATATCCACCATTCCCTACCACTTACCTTAAATGCTCTCTGTCAAATCCACATTGTCCCTCATCTCTTTCAAACCCCCCACAAAATACCTCTTTTGCTTTACAAACACTGTGTCTTTCACAATGCTTGAATCAATCTAGACTATTCGCCCAAATACCCTTGATGTTCTTTTCATTTTAACCACTCAACAGATGCATATTGTACTATTCTCACTACAAAGCATCCGAAATCATCAACCAAAATACCACTCGACCTACCAATAAGATAACATTATTGAATTTTTTTAATACCAATACCAATCATATTATTGTTATGTTTAACTCAAATCCCCCCCCCCCCCCCCCCTTTTATTTGTATCCTTATTTTTCAACCAGTACGTATTACCCACCAAACAAAACCCATTTCCAAAACCATACCAACACATATATCAAATTATGTTCAATCACAACAATTTTTAACAACCCCTCCCCAATACCCCACCCAACCCCCCACAAACAAAATTACCCCCAACCCCACAACCCCCCCCCCCCTAAAACCCCAAACCTCCTACAACCCATCCCCACAACCAATCAACCCCTCAACCTCAACCCCTCAACAAACAAACTCCCCCAAATCTACCCACCAATCCATATCCCCCCCCCCTCCCTCATCCACTACTACCAACCCCACCCCCCCATCATCCAAACCCCCCCTATATCCAACACCATAAATTAAACACATACTCCCTCCCACCTCCCCTTACATAATATCATAACCATACCCCAAACCAAACCCCCCCCTATCCCCCTACCCCTTTCCTTCCCCCCAACTACCCCCCCACACCCTACCTCAAACCTTTCCACAACATCTCCCCCTCCTCCCTCTCAAATTCCCCCTCATTTCCCCTCATTCTCCCCCCCCTTTCCCCTCAACCCTTCTCTTCCTCTCCTAAAACCATTTATCTTCCTATATCTCACTTCCCCCCCTAACACCCTTATTTACCATTATCATAACCTCCTACCACTCATTCAACCCCTCCCCCATTCTAACTAACCCCCCCCCCCTTCTCCCCCAACTTCCCCCTCACTTCACCTCTCCCATCTCCCCCCATCAACACACACAACAACCTCATTCCAACCCACAACCAAACCCAAACCCCCCCCCTCTCCATCCCTTCACATCACCTCCAAAATCCTTTCCTTCCCCATCTTCCCACCTCTTCCCCCCCCATCACCCCCCTACCCTCTCCCTTAAACCCATCTCCCTAATCTCTACTCCAATCCCACCCACCCCCCTACCCCCCTCCCTCAACCATCCATTCCCAACCCCTTCTCATTCACCATCACACCCTATCACACCCCCAAATCAACCCTATTCTACCCACCCAAAATAAACCCACCCATACAAATTAATACCCCCCCCCCCCCCTCCTTTACAATACCCCACCCACCCCCATTATAATCCCTCCACACAATCCATACATCTTAATTATATAATCCCCCCATCATCACTTAATTTACTTCTTTCCCCCCAGCTTTTATATTCACCACACCTAAACACACCCCATAAAGTCCCCATCATCCACCAACACATCTCTACAAATCTCCCCCCCCCCCTCCATTACACACCACTATCAACAATAAAAAACACCCAATACACCAAAACCACTCTATCAAAAATATATCTATCCCCTACAACAAAAACCCCCTCCCCCAATCCCCCCTCCCATCATATCCTCATTTCACCCACTTCCATATCACCCCCCCAAAAATTCTACTTCCCACTCAATATTAAAAACCCCAACCCCACCTCACAACATACCCACCCAACACCCCCATCACACCATAATATAATCACACCAACAAACCACCAATACATCACACCAACAATAATCAATTATTATTCCCTAAATTAATTCTATTCATTACCCCATTCCCCCCCTTCTAATAAACATAACCCCTTTTCCCCCCCCCCTCTTATCTCTTTCCCCCCCTTATCCCTACCTTCCCTCAATCTATCCCTTTATAACACCCCCACTCCCCCACTACTCCACCCTCACTATCCATCCCCCTCATTCTTAACCCCTTCTTATCCTATCTACCCCAATCTCCCCTTATTCACCCACCCCCTTCCCAACCTACTCCATCCTCCCCACCCCCTCCACACCCCTCTTCCCCCCTCTCCTCCCCTACCTCATATCAATTACTATATATCTCTTCTCCCCTATATCAATTAACTATATATATAAAATTCCCTTCCTCCATTCTTTATCCTTTTCCCTTCCTCTTCCAATTCTCTCCTCAAATATCAACTCCTTCCTCCTTCCCCTACTAAATTAACCATTCCTCTCCATCACACCAACACCCATATCTAATAAACCAAAATCCCATAACCATACAATAAATCTAATACTCAACATCTACATAATCCAACACATCCCAACACTAATATAAAAACACTCACAAACCCCCCAACAATCAACAATAAATATCATCCACCCCAAACCACCACCCACATAAACCCCCCCTCCCATATACAAACAACCCCCCACCTCTAACCCATCTAATCCCCTCATCTAAACTCCCATACCACCCACCCCCACCTACTCCCCCCCCCCATACCATCAACCCCCCTCAACCATAATAAAAATAAATCCTCTTCTCCCTACTCCTCTACCCATTTCATCAAATTAAACACCCACCATATCTCACCCCCCCACCTATATCTCTCTAATCCAAAATACAAAACCCATCTAACAACAAATACACCCCCATTATCCCCTAACAACCATCAAATAACCCCCCATAACTATTCATAATTAACCCCATTTCACAATATCAAACCCCCTCCTATCATAAATCCCCATAACCCAAATCCCCCATAATCCACAATCACAAACAATAAAACACACACAAACAATATCTCCCACTAACCTCATCACCTATAAACCCCCCTCACCCAAACCAACCAACAACCACATCCCCCTCTAACCCTACCCAATCTCCCCAATTAAAAACATTCCCCCAACCAATATACCAATACATCCTACACAATTAAACCCCCCCATTACTATCTACCCCAACAATACCCAACTCCCCATTCACCCACATCCTTCTCAACCACACCCCCCCACCACCCCTACACCTATTTACAATTAAACCCCTATCTAATATCCATATCAACCCTTCCTATACAAATCACAACACCATTAATACCCTCCACCTTATCAACCACCAACCCCCACCTCCATCCTACACCTTACCATTCTTTACCCATTCATCCCCCACTTACCCCCAACCCCCACCCCCCCACACCACCAATACCCTCCTCAACCAAATCCCACAACATCTCTAATCCCCACATTACCCCCCACCAAATCACCACATCACCTATACCCCATACCAACAATAATTATCCCACCCAAAATCCCTAATTCCCCCTACAAACCCCTTCACCTACCACCCCCAAATCCAACCACCAACATCCCCAACAACTTCTCCACCACTACACACCACAACACATCCACATAACACCCCCCACATTCCAACATCCCCCTCTACACCCCCAATCACCTCTTCACCACACCCACCTACTCTCTAACACAACCACTCATATTACACACCACAACAATCACAGTTCACACCCACCCATTACACCCACACTCACCCCCACATTCACAATCCACCTACATCACATCCTTCAACCTCACACTCCCACACCCCTTCCACACCTATACATATCACACCACACTACACCCCACATCATACATTCACATTACATTATCCAAAATTAACACTACCCATCACACTTACTTTTTATTCATGTAACCACACTGTTGCCTCACTGTCTTATTACACACCCCCAACAAACACACCCCACACATCACTTATTAACCATATTCCCCCAATTTCCCCCCCAATCTACCCACACCTTACTCAACATACCAATCATACTTACACCCCACCATCCCTACATCTATCATTCACACACACATCTCTACACCCCCTACACCCCCTTACCCCCAAACCCTACCCTCTCCCCAAATATCACACAACGTATCCAAATGACCTCTTAACCCTACCCACCCACCCCTCAAAACCTCCAATCCCAACCCATCCTAACCACAATTTCACATTCCCACCTCCTCAATACCCCCCAACTCTTACACCCCTACTCAAAATTTCCTCCACCCCCACCCACCACTCCTCATCACACAAACCCCCCCCAAAACTCTTCAATCACACAAAATCTTCCATTCCCCCCATATCCATCTCACCAAAAACACCCCACTTCCTACATATCCTATCCTTGCCAACTATTACAACAATAACTGCCTCTCCCCACAAAATCATCCAACAACCAAACACAATCCCCTACCACCTCCCTCCCCCTCATCAATTAAAATCCTCACCTACACCTATCCCTCTCTACACCACTCATTTATTCTCCTAACTCCCCTACCATCTCAACTACATTCTCCCAATACATTCTCCCCCCCCTTCCCCACCCACCCCCCCACCCCTTCACTCCAACCCCCAAACCCTCCCCCCCCCCCCTTCTCCACCCCTATTCCATCACATAACTCTCCCCACAAAAATCACCATAATACCCACATTTCATACCCCTCCTCATCCCCAAACCACCTTTTACATCTCTCCCCCCATCCCCACCAACCCTACACCCCACCATAATACATCTTTTTTTATATTCCAATTTCCCTACCCTTCACCCACATATCCCACCTCCCATCCCATCTTACCTCAACCCTACCTATTTCACCCCCACATCCTTCTTCACATTATCTTTTCATTTTATATATCCATTTATCCCTACATCCATCCCCCCCCTCCCCCTCCCACTCAAACTATTCTCCCCTTTCCATTCATTCATTCAACCACCCACAACCCCCCCAACCCCAAAATATATATTCATTACCATATACCCTAACCACCCATTTTCCTCCCCATACTCCTACAACCCATTTAACACCAACAACCCCCCCATACAAACCAACATTCTAACCACCACACATATCTCCCCCACCCAACCCCCCCCCCACTCACATATCCCACCCTACATCCCTATTTATATATAATCAAATATAACAAACAAAAAATACAAATTGAAAAAACCACTCCATATATCCCCCATACACCAACCCAACCCCCCCACATAATAAAATACATTTTAAAAAACCACAACATTACAATCAACACTTTAATTACCTCTTTCCAATATTACACCCCCTCCACCTATTATTCAAACATAACCAACTAACCCCCTAAATTACAACAACTTAAACTTCAACCACACCCCCCCTCCTAACTATCACATCTTTACATTAATCACCACAACTCTTACTCACTCAACAACAAAACCACACCTAAACCCAAACTCATTCAAACCACACCAACATCCATCATACCAATTAACAAAATTATCACAATTACCCTTCCCAAATTTACACCACCTTTAATCCTCTATCCACTTCGGTCCTCATCCCTATCACTTAATTACCCCTTCATCCTCAATTACCTCCTCTCCCTAATCCACTTCTAATTATATCCACTTATCCTAATTAATTCCTGTTATCTAACCCCTAAAACAATAACACCCCCTTAATCCCCACCCCTCATCTCAATCCCACCCTTTTTCCTCATATCTCCAACAATCACCTTCCTTACCTTAAACCCACCCTACCCCATCCCAACATATACAAATCATACACACCCAACATACACCCCAACCAATCATAAAAATAAAAAAAAACAAAATTTCACCCCCCCTAAACAACATAAAACCCTAAAAAACCTCCATAACCACCCTCCTCCCCCCCCCCCCTCCCACACTCCCCCCCCCATCAACCTTCCTTTCCACCTTCTACCCTCTAAAAAATAAACACTATTCCAAAATACCCCCCTACACCACATAACTCTCAACCAAAAAAACCCCCCAAACCCCCCCCTCCCCACCCACCCCAAACACAATCCTATACCCCCTAATCACACTCCACCATTATAAAAAACCACCCCCAAAAATCACCCAATCAAAACCTAAAAAAAAAACAAATTAAACATCAACCCACCAAAAACAACACCAACCCACATCCCTCCAAACCACATCCACAACCCCACCCCCCCCCACCTTAATACATCCCCCCCCCCCTACACCATCCAATTCCACCCATCCACCCCTCATCCCATAAAAACATCACCCAAAACCCCAAACCCCCCTCCCCCCCTTCTCTTCCCTAACCCCCCCCCCCCCATACCCCCATATCCCCACTTCTTTAACTACCCTACCACACAAATATCCCATAAAATCCACACCCACCAATCCCCCCTCACACCCCCTCTCTAAAACCCCATCACCCCCCATCCCTCCACCATCAACACTCCCCCCCCCACATCACTCCACTCCATCCTCCCCCCCAGTTACCCCCCCCCAACCCCCCCTCCCCATACACCCTCCTATCCCCAATTCTCTTTACCACTACCCCTCCACCAACCCCCCCCTACACCCTCCACAAAAACAACCCTACCCCACACTAACCCCAAACCTCCCAATCATCCCATCCTATTCTTAACCATTTCCATCCCCAACCTACAATACCCAACCCTCCCCACACCACTTTCAACATACCCTTCCCTACCTATCCCCCTCACTACCCCTACCCCTCCTTAACAACCCCATCACCATACCAAACCCCCCCAACCCATCCTCAAACCCCACATACTCTCATACCACCCTCCTCATACCCATCCCCCATTCTACTTCCTTCCCTCCTTATCTCCTTACCAATCCCTCCCACCCCACCAACCCCATCTACCCCACTCAACCACCCTCATCACATTTACCCCTCTCCCTAACCCCATTCCCTAACAACCCATCTCCCTTATCCCTCCTTCCCCAACCAAAATTCCCCCCACCACCTCCCAACCAACCAATCCTACACACTCCCTACCAATACACAATACCTAACATAAAATTCCTACCAAATTCTCCCCCCCATACAACCAACTTCTCCCTATTCCCACCCCCCAACTTTCCATTCCAATCTAATCCCTTAATCATCTTATCACCCTCCCCCACTATCCCCCCCAATCAAAAACATAATAATTCCAAATACCAACAAATATTCCCTTCTCCCCCCCCCACACAAAAATAAATAACACCATCCTAACCCCTATAAATTCTCCCCCATATCAAATAAAATACCATCTCCCAAATTTCACCCCACAACCCCCCCCCTCTCACCCTCCACCCAAACCCCACTTATTAAAACATCCCTCCTCCCCACCACTCCCACCCCATTCTCCACAAATCCCCCCCCCCCACCACCAATTAAATAACAAACATATAATTTTCTCCAAAACCTACCCCCCACCATCAAATACCCCCACCATACTATCCTATTCCACTCTCTCCATATCCCTTCATCACCCAACAATCCCTCACCATTTTATACCCCCCAACCCACTCCTCTTCCCCATAACACATACCATCCCCCCCCCCATCCCATCCCCCCAATAAACCCCCTCATCCACAAATACCTAATCCTATAATACACCTATCTACCCCTCATCCAATCAAAACACCTACACCAATCCCTACTCCCCCCCCCCCCCACTACCACACTCACATAAATCAATAATACTAAACCAAAAACAAAACCACCCCACACCCCATCCCAATAACTAAATTCCTAACTCCAACCCCCCCCACAAAACCCACCACCACCCCAACAAAATTAACCACCCCCCCCCTACCCCCACAAAAACTACACACTAAATTCATTCCTAACAACCCCCATTATCAATTACCAAATATCACCCCTTCTCTTCCTACATCTCCAAACTACATAATCTCATCTCATACATACCAAATACCCTACCACCACCAAATCCTACAAACCAAACATATACCATACCCACCCCTCTACAATCACCAACACCACCCTATCCCCCACATTCCATACTCTATCAATATCACCTCACAATCCCTCAAACACCAAACCAAAATCAATAAACAATCACCCAACTCCTTTCTTCTATTACAATCCTTATATTCACCCACTCCTTACCTTCATATATACAATATCTATACACATTCCCATATCTCTTCCCTATACCATATAACCATCCCAACCAATCACCTCATCTTTTACTATCACTATAAACCAATCCAAATACACCACCCCCCCTACCCCTCTAAATCTTCTAATCCTTAACATCAATACTTCAATCTCTCATAACTCCTCCTAAAAATATCTAACTCATTTCACTACTAACCCCCTACAACTAAACCCCACCCTCCCTACCTTCCCCCCTCCCATACTCTCCTAACCCCACCCCCCATATACATATAAATACCCCCCAATTACAATATTTCATCATATCACTCCCCTACAACATTTATCCCTCCCCTCCTTCCCTCATTTCATATCAAAAAAAAAAAAAAAAAAAAAAAAAAAAAAAACCCAAAAAAAAACAACAACACACACCCCCCCCCCCACCCCCCCCCCCCCCCCCCCCCCCCCCCCCAAAAAAAAAAACCCCCCCCCCCCCCCCCCCCCCCCCCCACACCCCCCACAACCAATAATATCCATTTCTTTTTTTTTAACCCCCCCTCACACAACCCCCACACACTATATGTATACATTGTTACCCCCCCCCCACCCCCAAGCCCATGTCGTGCTTGTTATTGTCAGTGTCAAGTGAAATACAGACAGTTAGGGTTATCCGTGCAGAATGGCTGCTTGTCCATAGACTACTCCGTAGCCAGGTTGCTCCACGTTGCATTATCGACAACATTACCAGGGGTCTACAGAAGATACTAATCACTCCGTAAGCTGCCGTAAATAGGGCTATGTCTCCTTGGCCACAAATATAAAAAGAACAGACTCAAACATGGTGAGCCTTGACATGTTTGAACTCGCTCAGGAACTTGTCCAGATACCATTGTAGCGCTATTCCTCTAACCCTGTCTGCCATGTCTATACTATGTGAGAATGTTCCTGTAGTTGAGGTGAACCAGCCAGAAAAAGATACTAGTAGTGAGACTTGCAAAATGTCTCTCCTAATTTGGAGCAGGGTGAACCATTGATGTAAACCCTCTAATCTTCATATCTTTGTTCAGCTCTCCTGGGTTTTTATAAATCTGTCTTACCTTATCTGGGAATTGTTTTTATTTCCTGAACATTGTGCAAAGTGATGTACAGAAATACAAACACCAATCGGTCGATGGATTACTAGGCCTCTATGATTCAGAATCCACTGTTGCATTCGGATATGCGCAGATTATTTATATTGGTATATTGACCATATCGTCCATAATTATCTCAAGTCTAAACAGATCAAATTAATCCGACCTCAATACCTAAACCCACCACTTGTGTGTGTGTGTACACATACAACTTATATCCTGCAGAGTCTAGCATTCACAACGAGTATCTAGTCAGAAATCTACAAGTGATAGATTTATATGGAAGATGTTCTCCAGGTTTTGGATAATATGCGTTGTGCTATTTCGTTCCTTATCCCATTTCCGGTTATAGGCAGCAGTAAAAACTAATACTTTACTATAAATATACAAATCCCCAAACAAAACATATCCCTATCCGTCAACACCCCTCCAATTTTATTATCATTCCAAACAAATATCGCTTCTTACTAAGACATTAGTGTGGCAGATATTTCCATACTTACCAATTAAGTACCCCTCTTAAAAATACACGAAAAAAGGAACACATTGGATGCGCTCCCGAAATTCACTAAAGGGAGTCAGTTGACAACGTGTGGTGTATGTCAGCTCATCGATTCCTTGCCGTATTGAAAGTGAAACCCATATCAGCCGTTGTCTCACAACTAGTTGGAGCTGACTAGAGATCTCGTCCGGTAGACTCACCGCTGTTCCCAATTATTTACCCCCCCCCCCCCCCCCCCCCCCCCCCCTCCCCCCCTCCACACTTCCTGCTTTTTCTCATGTTGATTACTACCCAAGAGAGAAGATGTACGCATGACAGCATGTAACAGTAGAGAAGGTTGTTACTATACTGCATACTCATGAATGTAGTATTACATGTGTAGATGCAATAACATGCAACGCTGCAACGAATGCAAACTAGTAGCCTGTGGTCTTTTACAGTTCTCAGAAAACACCACTCGTCTAGGCAACCAGCTGCACAGATGTAGTTGACTTTGCACAGCAGATTCTGAAGAAAAGGAATAATCCTGATACATTAAAGCTCATTGCCAGTGAAACATGGTGGCTATAGAAATTCCACTGTGGGACGAATAAAGGATCTCTAAATATGGAGCCATGGAATGGTTTTATTGTATTATCGAAGAGTGTGTGACTTCATGTCACAAGCACAGGAATGTCCCCTTCTGCAAGCAAATAGAGTTGCAATTCATTTGATAAACCATTTGGCACACCTGTCCCAATAGCCACTGACATCATCATGTGATGGCCTTACTATAATATTTGCTTATTAAACCTTAACTGTCACTATTTTACGCAGCGCAGTTTTTTTATGAATGGGATTGATCAATACATTGCAGGTTGAAGTTCTTAGTAGAGCACTGCAGCGGCCTTTTTATATTATGAACAAACACTTAATGGAAGTATGTCTGTACCTTGTGGCTCATCTCATCACTCACGTTTCTTCTCGTCAGGTCGTCCCCCGGTCTATATTCCGCCTTCGATTTTTAATTATGACTACCTTGCCCTAGATGAGTCTACGATGCACAGCTGTTTCTTCTACAGGCTCTCCCCGGCAGTGCACGGAACCTCCCGCTCTGGTTCGAGGGCCATCGCACCCCAGCTCCTCCATCTGCAGCCTGCGCATTCCTTGTAGTTCAACCTGTTCTCATGTGAAGTTTTGGTCAATGCTGTCTGCCACGACAAGAGTGCTTCTGAAATTACGCTGAATTAATTGATATGTAACTACGATCTCATTTATAATTGCAGGCAACTGCCAGCAGAGTGAATATCATCTCTACAGGATCACGTGCATTGTTTGCTCTGTTGTAATATTCTGTTTTGTTCACTCTTTACTGTTTATTGACACTCTTCCATGGTGACCCTACAGCTACGAATACTGGCTAGATCCTTCCTAACCTTTTAACACACCTTCCCACCTCTTCTAGTTCACAAATTACAGATTTGATAAATTCCGTATTATAATGCATAAATTATCATTTATTTCGCCGTACATCTATCCTTCGTCACCTGAAGGATCTCATGTATTTTACAAACGAACTATGCTCAGCCCATGTAGTGTCTTATGTATTCCATGTAATACGTTTGGAGCTTGTCCACCCTTTTCGCATCGTGTCCACCTTGTTCTTTGACGCAGCGACTGCCGAACTCAGCTTACTCTCAGAGGTCTCTGGCCAACGTGCTGCTGTTCCAACAGTTCCTGGTACTCACATTGATGAATGCGGCGTGTTGCGGACACTTCTGTAGAGATAAGTTTAAACATCTATTTGTAAACGCTTAATGTTTCTTTGTTATATAAAGATATAAGAGATACTGTAGTCTCTGTTGATTTAGGTTTGTGGGTGTCAGTTTAGTTAGTATCCGCATATGGGCTGGATGATGCTTTCATTGTTACGTTTCCTATGTATGGTGAGGTTTGCTGGTTTTAACTAGTATATTGTCCTTGCAGAACCATCAAACAGATCCGAACAAATTTAATCGTTCATGGGATAGCGCATAAGAGGATGGAATAACTAATTAGGATTATTGACTATCTATGAGGAACACATAGAGGCAGAGCTGCTTGGTTAAATGCTTTGATACGAGGGTGTCTGGCGCTGCTGGCTAAGGTGTGTGCACGAGATAGTGGTGGAAGAGTGGATCATCTTCCCCC